GCCAACTGCAATCAATGGCTCAATTTAAAAATAGTACATAAATTTCTGCGCATATAGCTAAAAATCTGTACTCAAACTGGAGACCATCTAATAATTGCTTTGTTTATTTAAATGAATAGTCAATATTTGTTTGTAGGATTCATTTTATGTCAGCCATATCTTTTAGAGTTAGACTTAGACTAAATGTATTAATCTTCTGTAAGGTCCAAACCAGGCTCCAACACCTTCATTAAGGGAAATTATTTGGACACAGTATCTCACACATTACAATAAATATAACAATAAAGAGCAAAAATATAAATGTAATAATAAATTCAAAATAAGAAGCAAAAATAGCAACAGACTTGTGTCAAATAAGGCATAATTATTTAAATGTATATGTATAAGTAAAAAAAATATATAGAATTGTAGTAATACAAATATATCTCAGTAATAATTTATATTTATTTTGAGTCACACATTTCCTGGTTGTTACTGATACTTGATTTGCTGTGTTCTTGCAGCCTCCAGCCAAGTTCCTGCTCCCTGAGGTCAGTATAGGAGACTATGGGAAGAACTGTGTGGTGATCGACCTGGACGAGACCCTGGTGCACTCCTCCTTTAAGGTATTCACATAAACATGAGCTTACACTGTCTGGCCTTTTTATTACTTGGGATGTGCCATGTTTTGCTAGGCTCTGTGGGGCTAATAGGATTACACAGGGGTAATTCCTGAAGATGCGATTCTTTTGAACTGAATGTGATGACAACATGTAGCAAACAGCTCAACAATGTGTGTCCTTTAGACTACTGTATATCAGGTGAAGCAGGGCAGAAGAGTGCGTGTTGCTATGGAAACTAATGCATACATTTGCTCTTCCCTTTTGACTTTAGTTAATAGCAACAAATGGTTAATTAATTTTGGGTTTATTGGATTTCATTGGGTCAGTGTAGCTTTATATAATAAGGTTAACATAGGGTTTGGTAGCAGTACTTAAAGGTCCTATATTACGTAAAATTGTTATTGTGTTGTTTTCCTCATTACCTGGAGTTGTGTTTCATTCACACATGTCTGAGTAACCCTTAATTATTAGTCTGTCTATATATGCAAAGCTCAAAATGCTCTGTTCTACCTTGCAATGTCATGAAGCAGTAGTTTTTCATGAAGTTACCAGCTATTTTTTACTTTTAGTTTAGTAGAGATTGGCAGTCGCAGGGCTGAAATTATCCAAATGATTCTACTGAAGGTGTATGGAGTTTAAAACCACAGTAGAACACTTCCTGTATCACCACATGACATCACAAGGTGGAACAGATGTCTTTAAGAAGAACTCAGCCTGAATATGCTGGGTTTGTGTGAAACAAACAAACAACTCCAGGTATGTTTGTGATGAGGAAATGACTTTATAACATAAATCAGAAAATAAATATAAAAAATAACATGGGCAGCATATGGTTTATAATAGCAGTAACTTAACTGAGCGATATATTTTCAGGCCTAACTTATTCAACTCACATTTGTCTTTGCAATGTAAAAATCACTGGGTCTTTTCTTAGTTCTCCGTAATGTCCTTTAGTGTAATGAACTCAACAATATAATGAACTCCACTGCCTTCCTCTCCTAGACCTTATTACCTCCAGCCTGGGTGTGTGCACTGTAAACAGGGAAGTCAGAAAACTGCATAAACCAGAATACAGTGGAACAACTGTACTCTCTGTCTAAACCTTATATAAGGCATTTGAACAGTTAACTCCAAGCAGTACAGAAACATTCCTGGTTTGCAATGGGAAGGCATGAGGAATGAAAAATGTACACATGCTGATTGGGACCCACCCATTGCAAGTTCCATGGCAGCAGGACAGGACCACAAATACAAGGGCGCGTCCCATAGACTCTGTAGCCTCAAATGACCGCGGGTGAAATTCCCAGAAATCCTCAGTGCCTATATACCAGGGAAAGTGTTCAGTTCCTCAGACAAAGCAGTCTCAAACTCACCCAACAACTGCATTCCTTCTTTGAAAAACCACATAGCGCATTCTCAGTACTTTCTCAAAATATGTTGCTTTCCATTAATCTGAATCAGGGCTAAAACTGGTCTAAATCAGAATGAAATTTAAATCAAAACCACTATTGAATATATATTTCAGTCTGTTGGTTTTATAGACAGGATGCCCAGAAGCGTAGAAAGGGCAAATGGTCAAACCCAGGAATCATTCACACAACACTGAGAACTAAACCACAATTACGCCAGGATTAAATCAAGACTAAACCAGATCTAATTACCTCTAAATGTTGAGAAGTGAAAGGGAGAAAGTAGGAGAAAAGTCCACACACAGCAGTTTTGCTTCCCCTTTGACCCTGCAGGGCATCCGGTTGAAAAAAATCTAGCTTGTGAAATTTGTAGATCTAAAAATATGTAGTGATTGAACATGGGAAAGTCTGCAAACAACTAAATCAGAGCTGGATCATGTCACACATTGCACAGATGCATGGGCAGAAAATAGCAGTATTACATAACGCATGAGATCCTATGCTCTGTCCTTATGATATGGATGAGAGGATCAGCCCAGAGCCTCAAGGATTAGCTACAGATTGTGTTAAAGTGGCTATAAACAACACTGGATGTATGAATAGCATTGGATATAGAATCTGTGTTGTGACAAGCATTTGATGAAATGTAACGAGAAATCCAATTATATGGGTAAACATTTGAATTAAGTGTTTACTAAGAGTATGGGGTCTATGTGATTGACAGGCGTGTTCATTTGTCAGACTTGTGTTGAAATCTTTAGACAGCTGTACCCATTTCCAAGCTGTAACATGATATATATATATATATATATATATATATATATATATATATATATATATATATATATATATATATATATATATATATATATATATATATATATAATATATTATCAAACAATAGAATTTTTTTCAATTTGAAATGTAGACTTTTTGTTATAATATACATTTAAAAAAAGGATTAGGTGTGTGTGGGATAAGATAAAATAACCCATTAACCCAAGTTAAAGGTGCACTGTGTAACTTTAGGTGATCGTTCCGCTTCGTGCTTGACTCCGTCAGAATAGATATGTTTAGTGCTATAACAGTTCAAGCAAATGAAGAACATCTCCATGGAGGCAAACAAGTGGTGAACATTTCACCCGAAAAATTATATACTGCACCCTTAAGCTTATAATAATTTTAATTTTGATTTAATGATGCAACATTTTGAGTTAATTTGGTCTTATGGAGTGATTAAATGTAGTAGTAAGTATAGATAAAGCAGGAACCAACACGGATATAGCCACCATCTCTATAGCTCCAGTCCTCAGAATAGCATCTTTCTACTGTTTGCGCTTTCTCCTTTTGTAGCTCTCTCTCTCACACACATACACGCAGACACAAATACACACACGGTTTATTTCCCTCACTCCTCCATCTCCATATCTGAGCCCTTTTCTCCAGCCCCGCTCCAAACAGCTGCTGTGTTCTCTGTCTTCAGATGATGGAGTGATTGGCCCTCTTCCATCTGCGGCTCTCCTCCTGCTTGGTGCACAGGGTTGTTTTGTTGAGCCTGTCGTAGATTGTCTAATTTCCACTGCCTTTTAACTGTCTGGGTAATGAGGGCTCTGTGCAGCTGTGGTGTTCAGGTTCTTCTCTGATCATGTGGACAAGGAAAACATACAAAACACAGCGGTAGATTGAACACACAGGCAACATGGAGTATTCCTATAGCAAACACCCCCTCTGCTGGATGATACAGATCTAAACAGTATTGTTGTTTTTTCCTTACACATGAGAATGGATTCTGTCAATAGACTAAATGTAGTTCAAATTATACAAGCATGAAATTATTAAGAAAAATATGTAATTTTTTTTAGTTGCATATTTAGTAATGATGAGTAGTCTTAGTAATTATATTTTTGAGGGATTAGGATTAGGACGCAATTAATTAAGTAGTTACTAAACCTGTTTTTCATGGTCGTTTTTCTGTGTTATAATGTATTCTGCATCAAAAACATACCTGGAATCCTAAGGTGAGACAGAGGATTTAGATTTTTGGAGATGTAGACAGACTAATAATAAAGAGTTACTCAAGCATGTCGAATGAAACAAAACACCACTCCGGATATGTTTTCGAGGAGGTAACAACATTTTTGAATGGCTTAAACCTCACAAGAGTCTATGATGTGTATAGGATGTAGTTAACATGTTGTTGATTTTAAGGTATAGGAAGAAACAGTTTGCTTGGAAAATTGTAGTTTCAAGATTGTTAAAAAAGAGATAAGATAACTTCATATGTTATTGCTATGTCCTTCTCATATGTCCTAGATACATCAGACAAGTTTTATCATCAAATTCTTCCTTAGTTTCTCTGGCACTCGCGTTCCTTCATTTTCCCAATTTATTTCAACATGTCACCTCTACCACCCACCTACCTCTTTCATCCTCTGGCTCTAGGCTGCTCCGCTCATTCCCACTGTCTCCTTATAAATGACAAAAGCCTAACTCAGCCTTCCATGTGTGCCTGCTTCGTCTGTCACTCTGCTTTTGGCGTATCCCTTGAGTTTTACTAGGATTTTATTTAACACTGTGAAGCTAGAATTGGGGCATTGGGAACTACAGCACTCATAGAGGATTCCAGTCTGCCCCAGGCTTTTTAATAGTACTTACATTTGGCTGTTGTATGTCACCTGAACTGCACTGTAAAAATAAATCTGTATTTTCTCCATTTTGTCCTCCACAGCCCATCAGCAACGCAGACTTCATTGTCCCTGTGGAGATTGATGGCACTGTTCATCAGGTATTAAAAGGACTATAGTACAATCGAAACTTTTATTGTATATTGTGGTTAAGGCTTTGAAATGAAAAAATGCCTTTCAAGGAAATTTTCCACAGAGCTCAGAAGATTTGTGTAGCTGTAACCGGGTTCAAGTAATCCAGGATAGGCTGTGTGTGTATATGGGCCTGTTCTTGATTACTTGCACTTGGTGTCAGTGACTTGTCAACAAATTAAGTAATAGCATTATATAACATTATGTTTTGTGACGCTACAGTAAATAAAGCATTGTAAAGCCTTTTAGCCTGATTCAATTATGTCTGATGGACTGAAGCGTGAGACCTAATTACTCTGTAACTCAGTGCACATTATTGTTATATAAGTGACTAAATTTATACTTTGCAATAGATTTTCTGTGGGCAAGAAAGAAAAGGTCTGAATAGAATACAAGTGGCATCATGAACTTTTTGAAATGTATGTTTTTCTGTTGGCTTGAATGGGGGACATCTATCTGCTAAATAGGTCAGGCCCCGATAATCTGTATGTAATTATAATGTTCATAATACCTGTATAATTCCTCATTCACCCAGGTAACGTCCATAACAAAAAAAGGCATTCAAAACCTTATCACTAACATCTTTGTCTAGTTGACAGAATTCTACCTTCTGCTATTATGCACATTCATAAAATTATGTTTTTACTTAACCTTTAAATTAACTTATTGGAGATGTTGCTGTTCTTGTCCTTCAGGTGTATGTTCTGAAGAGACCTCACGTGGATGAGTTTCTGCAGAAAATGGGAGAGCTGTTTGAATGTGTACTCTTCACCGCTAGTTTAGCCAAGGTTTGTGTCCCTTTCTCTCTCCTGCTTGACCTCTTGTGTACTGCATTAGACTGAAACCGTGTGCCCTGTTTTAGTATGCTGATCCTGTGGCTGACCTGCTGGACCAATGGGGCGTGTTTCGGGCCCGCCTCTTCAGGGAATCCTGTGTTTTCCACCGAGGAAACTACGTCAAAGACCTCAGTCGTCTGGGCCGAGAGCTCAGCAAAGTCATCATTGTAGACAACTCACCTGCCTCGTACATATTCCACCCGGAGAACGCTGTAAGTCCAGAACACATTCAAAATATGCATAATGCCCTGAATACAAGGATGCTATACAAATAAAAATATGATGATAGAGAGAAATCCTATGCTCAAAAAATTAATAGTTTTGATAAAAGAAATGTCAAGAGTACATATACTGTGCATTAAGAGAAAATATTTCTTGTCATTGCTGCAACTTTGGTAACATGCTCGCCTCACAGTGGTAAGGTAGTACCAGTTCTGTAGAGAGCTGTTGTGTTAATAATAGTAAGTAATAGCAAAACTAAAATAATATAATATTGTCTGTTGTAGTAGAAACAAACAGTAGTTGTAGTAGTAGATCATAGAAGTAATATTGTCTTTAATAATTGTTTGATTGTGTTTTATAAACCTAGTAGTACTTTTACTGCACTACATTTTATATGCATCCCTGTGTACCTCATTTAAAACATGTTATCTGAAAATGACACTAATTACTCTAATACACAGGTAGAATCTAATATTTTCAGACTAAGTTTCATTTTAAATTCATGACGAGGTTTTAGCCTGGGGCCTTGTACATTTTATTAGATTTCTGCCACTCATCTTTTGCCCTTTAATACATTCTGGATGAATTATTCAAATTATAAAACTGAGTGGTGCCATGAATGACATTTTCTGTCTTTATCAAAATAATGAGATTTTATTGTCTATTTTTCAGGTCCCAGTGCAGTCTTGGTTTGATGATATGACGGACACAGAACTGCTGGACCTTATTCCACTTTTCGAGGGTCTAAGTAAAGAAGAAGATGTTTATAGTTCATTACAGAGTCTAAGGAACAGGTAGCAAATGGACAATGAACTTCCATAGGTGGACATTTTGAATTTCCAAGTGTACAGGACTTCCATTGCAAATAAGATTATATTACTTATTGTATGTAAAGTATGTTTATAAGTACTTTTCTAACACAGGAAGTTTTACAATACTAGTACCCAAGATTATTTTAGTTACCAAAAATAATCTGTCTCACATCTCTTTGTTTTGCTTTTGTCAGAGTTTTTTTGTGTTGAGCAGTGCTATGCAGGCTGGTGTTTCCTGTCCAATCTTTAGGTTCAAATGACTGTGATTTTTCATTTTACAGAAAAAAAGTGCCTTCATTACTGAGCTGATTTGAATGGGGTGCACATTTTGTATGCTGTAATCTACAAAAAAGATATATTCTCGTCAATCTACTCAAAATGGACAATACAAAACTGAAATATGTCTTTTTAATATTAGTGAATTAACTAAAAGGTTTACGATTCAATGTGGTTTGTGACTGGCTAAGTTATTGTAAATTCTTAAAGATGTTTAAAAATGAAATGATTAAATGTGATGAAATTATTGTTCAACAAAAATGTTAAGAGGAAAGTATATTTACTAGTTTAGGTCATATGATATTCTATTTATTGGGGTAAAGGGTGTAAAAGGATGCTGTCAAAGTTGTACTGTACAACATGATTAAAGTTGCAATTTTGCACACTGTCACGTTTCGCTGAGTTATAGATGGTGTTGTGGCGATTTTGTGAGTTTTTATTTTTCAGAATGACGTTAATTTATTTCCTTGATGTGGAAGGATAACTCAGGGAGAATAAAATCAATACAGAAGGAAACAATGTGAATCTTGACAAGTGATCTGTCTGTAGGATTTCCCATGCATTCTCTTCTGTGTTTAACTACACAGCCCTGTGCTATGTCATTGACCACATTCAAGGCCTAGAGTTTGTCCAAGCAACTATGGGCGTTGGGTGGGGTCCATGTGCACCTAGAAATTGTTGGGAGTAGAGTTGATTTATTTGGATAACTCACTGGCTGCTTGTCAGTCCTAGGTTACGTTAGGTTAGGTTAATTTATTTGCTATTTGTAGTTAAAGACATTGGAAAAAGAAGTGCAAAAAGCTCAAAGTGCACCATGAGACAATAAAAGAACCATATAAAAAAAATATATATAGACAATCATTACAGATGAGATATGACACTGAAATAAAAAAAAAAGATACAAAGATTAATTAGCTAAGGTGCTACATCAAAGTTCAAAGTGCATTATTCAAGCTTATAACACCCTGTGGGAAGATGCTGTTATTGTGGTGAGAAGTCTTACATTTAATTAATGGAGCAAGAAGAAGAAGCTGGAACATGTCTCTGCCAGAATATCCAGAGGGGTCATGTATGATCTGAATAGGCTTAAAAGTCTACATTTGTAAAAAGCCTCTAGGACACACAGGTCACAGGTCACAGTTCACAGTCTGCAAACATAAAGATAATTATTGGTAAGATAATTAGATATTTTACCACCCTAACGATCTATTTCACCATAAACAAATAAACTAATGTAACAGGTAAATGTTATCTTGCCCTACCTATGTTAAAGTGTAATACATGTTGGTCAGTATATTCCTGTTGAGAGTTGTTCATTAATAATATCAAGTGTCAGTGTTGGTAATATAAGATTAAACTCTGGACTGAGTCAAGATAAAGCTGTATTAATATAATATGATTGTAATATGGTTAATATGCAACCACCAGCACCTCTGTGTCTCATGAACTTTTAGCTTCCGCTGACGTCGCACAAGTGGATTAGGCATTGTATGGAGCTTATTCTTACAACCTGAGAATTCCTGCCTTTTCACTCCCAGTCTTTCAGTCAACCACTATGAGACCAGAGGAAGTAAACATTGTGTGTTTGAAACTGTGAATGTTGAAATCTTCAGGATGGCGTTCAGGAAAGAAAGTGCAAAACCATGGAAAAAGGTAAGACTTTCTGCAACCCCTTCCTGTCTTATGTAACTTGAGCAGATTATGCAGTTACAAGGTGGACTAGGAGACTTGTGTGTAATCTCTCTTAATGGGATGGGAAGAGCAAACACTGTGTTAGGTGAAGAATGCATTGCCTTCTTTCTTGTTATCAACAAGTTAAAGGTGCACCTCATAACTTTTCTGACACATGACTGTCTCCATGGAGATGCATTGTTTTTCCTTAAAAGTTCCAAACTATGGCATTAAGCTATCATGCATTTTTTTTCAATTACAGGTGCTAAAACCTCCAGTAAAAACATGCATTCTTGCTGTGAGCAGGTTTCTGCAGTCAAAGCAATAAAGTTTCCACCTGATTACAGAAAAATTACACAGTGTGCCTTTAAGTGGAAAGTACTATTACCTACTTTAGCTACTATTACTTCTCTTAGTTCTAGATGTAAATATAGAGGTGGTATATGGCCAATAGTAGTAATACTAGTCTTGGGACTGTAAAAGTACTATAAGATATACGTTTACTATATAGTATTTAAGAAAATGTGATGGTAAAATGTTTCTCACTCCATCTCGTTTACACTGTACCACAAACTAGTGTAAACTCAGACTGCTAGTGGGGGGCGTTCAAAGGCCTTCTCTGTAAACCCTCAGAAATGTCAAGTGTTCCTTCACCAGTCACACTGTGTGAGTAGGATTTACCCAGGGAAAGCCGACTGAGATCACTCCAACAGTAAATTAAGTGTGCAATTATTAGGCACGTGGGTATTTTGACGACATCATGATTTTTATGCATAATCTCCCATTCCAAGCTGTACAAACATAAGTTCTTTTTTTTTTTTTTTTAATATTGTATTTTTTATTTAATATTGTATTTAAGCATACCAGGTGATTTGTCTAACAAGGGAGGGTGTGGCCTAAGGAGCTCAACACCCTATGTGTGCAGAATTCAGCTTCTTTTTCTCAGGCAAAATAGGCCAAAAAAGAGATTTAACTGACTCTAAAAAGTCAAAAATTGTAAAAAGTTTGTCAGAGGGATGCAGCACTCTTGAAACCGCCAAGATATCGGGGTGTGATGACAGAACCATCAAACGTTTTGTTGCAAATAGTCAACAGTGTTGCAAGAAACATGTTGAAGAAAAAAGCGCAAATTTACTGCGAGAGATTTGAGAAGAATCAAAAATGAAGCTACCAGGGACTCATGATCCTCCAGCGCTAGGGGTTCAGCGCTCAGAGACATGGCCAAGGTGAGGAAGGCTGAAACCTGACCACCACTGAAAAAAGAAACATACCGTAGTACTCCAGAGGTCCTGAGCTAATCCCCAAGCGCCTGTTGTAATAACTGTCAAGTGCCACATGTGACGCTCAGAGCAGAGTCAGGCGTAAAACAACAATGCAATTACGTTAGTCTTGAAAACAGTGTTTTTTGATCCTCAGCACTCCTGAGTCCTGAGAGACGCATACTCATGTCTCTCTCATGACAAAATTAGGCCTACTGTTCTACTCTCACCCGTAATAAAAATATAAACATATGTCAGTTTCTAAATACGATTTCAATGTGTGGACCCTATATATTTTCTATATAGCCCATAAGTTTGTGATGTATAGACTGAGGGAATTGTAAAGAAGACGACAGGAAATTGCAGGTGTGTTTGCGCGTGGGTGTGGAGGCAAACAAGCCCCGCCCACTGTGGCGCTTTTCAATGGGCTCTGCATCCAGGAAGAGAACAGCAATATAACTGTACCTGCCCAGTTATTACGACTATCTGCATCCCACTAATCCAGCTCCATCATCTGCAGGGCACCCGACCTTCTTCTGGAAAAGGACATCAGGTAAGAGTTCATTCTTTTTCACCATTTAGACTTTGTTCTAATTGTATTGCATTGGTATAATTTATATAGCCTACTGTTCTGTACTGGCTGTACTATTAATAAAGGTTTAATAGAGTTAATGATTGGTCTACACATTTATTGCGTTTTATTTTATTGCGTGTGATAGCCGTGTTTGATATTATAATCTCATTGTCCCCGCTAATTGAATGGACAACAGGGTTAAATGATGCGTAACCAGTTTGTCCTGTCGCTTAAATGGACTTTTGTGTCTCCTCTTTTCACTCCTTATTTGCTCGGCTTTTATTGTGGAGAGGTTCAGATTGCAAAATATTTTTTTTTCCCTTTTCACTTTTATTCAAGAACCAGACAGTGAAACTTCTGACATCATCGCGTGAATCAGCACTGTATTCTCTTGTAATACAAATGGTCACTACAATAAGAAAAAAATATTAATATCAGTGCAGTGTGCAGTTAATGTTTCTTTATGTTGTTCAGTGTCAAAATGTAAACAAATTCACATCCTTACTTTACTTTTTAAATGCAGCAGTTGTGTCAATTGGTTTATGACTGGTTTATATGCTAGTACTAGACTAAATATGGTTTTATGGCATGAAGACTTTTATAAGTATTCTATAAGCCAAATATTTGATTAGATCATTGGGTGTGGCCGCCCTCGCATCAATGTCAAAAGTCAATAACTACTCAAATCACAAATACAGTATAATACACACTTATTTACGCAATATTTCTTCATTCATTCTAATGTTTTGTTGTAGGCATATATTGATTACTACTTGCCACTTGTAACATAAAATTCAAAGAACTCTATGACCAGCCCTGTCATAATATGTTGACTTTGAGTGTGTCATTTTGATGTGATTCAATAAATGCCAAAATTCTTGAAAGAGGTTAATAGTAAAGATGTGCCAAGCCTGTTCCTTCCCTCATTTATAACATAGCTTTATTGTTTTATTGTTTCACTTCTGTACCTCCATCCAGGGGCCAATTGGGTGCACCTGGATCATTTGCATTTTATACTGAGGTTGCCATATCTCCCACAGCTTCCACACTGTGTTACACTTTAGGCCTGCGGTGGGCGAGTCTGGCTGTATTTGCTTATCACTGCTGTTGTTCCCCCGTACAGAGAGATACAGAGAGACATTTGATTGCAGAACTTGTATGTTGCCATGGCGCCAAGCTGATCCCCATTTGGGAATTAGAGATGTTGCACTGTCACACATCCAGTGCATTCATAAAAGGGCTCACTTGTCATTTTTGGAGCCATCTGTTTTCCCTGAATGGAGAGAAAAAAAACTTGTAAACATGCAACAAGAGGCAGGATGCAGCATCACTTTTGGTTTTGAAGAGTCTTTGAGGAGAGCGTGATGAGCGGGTGTAGTGGATGTGTTCAGTAACAGTTGATGATAGGATAAATATCTACTTGATAATCACATAATTTGGACCAATGGCTTTGATTACTAGTTGTACGACTTGCCCCAAGCCTGGATAAATAGAAAGGGCTAAGTGTAGTTGATATAACCCGATGAAAATGAACAAATAAATCAACACTTAGACACACAAAAAAATGTGTTTACGTCTATTATTTTATGCAGTGTTTCCCATTGATTTTGTTCAGACTATGGTAGCACAAATCATTTTTATTTTAATAATTTTATCTTTTAATGTTTGTGGAGTATAAATTTTACTGCCTATATTTAATCTTTTAAGCAGTTAGTCCAGTGTACTCTCTTTTATAAATTTATGATAATACAATGAGCAACAAGGTCAGTTCAAGGTTTCATAATACACAACACCCTAAATGTTTTCTTTGTTAACATTGTGACTCATTTTCTTGTTATTAAGATAGATATTGTTTTTCAGTTGACCCCAACGATGAGTGATACTAAAGACCTCTTTCGAAATGTCAGCCAGAAGCCTGGTCTCCAGATATGGACAATTAATGTGAGTCAAACAAAAACAACAATAACATATGAAATACTGCAAAATCTATGTTTTATTGAAATATGCCGTTTATGGCTCAGAACATGGAGATGGTCCCTGTTCCTGCTCAAGCCTATGGTAACTTCTTCGAGGGAGACTGTTACATTGTTTTAAATGTGAGTGCAATTACCACTGATTTCCCCAGAGGCTGCACACTCTATAATGAAGGGGTTTCAATGTGCGCATGCCCGACGTTTACATGTTCCCACACAGATACCCAAGGGCCAGGGCTCCAGCCAGTCCGCAGACGTGCATTACTGGATAGGGAACTCCTCCTCTCAGGATGAGCAGGGTGCAGCGGCCATCTACGTGACCCAGCTGGACGAGCACCTGGGGGGCAGTCCAGTCCAGCACAGGGAGGTCCAGGGATACGAGTCACCCCGATTCAAGAGCTATTTCAAAAATGGGCTCATGTGAGTTCTGTTTTCTATAGAAATATAACTGACATGTTTTAGGAAAAGTGATCCAGCATATACTATTGCTGTGTTATATTTATAACAATAGCATGGCCCTAGGATGAAAGTAGAATGGTAGCTGGGAAAACCACAGATAAATATTTTTTGCAGCTGTATTCCCATATTATTACCAAGAAACTACTGGTGTGGTATCCTGATAGTTTAAGGTGCTTAAACTTTTTGAAACCAGGAACCCCTTAACAGTCAGAAAATTAATCCAAAAAGGACCCCCTGTCATCCCCCACCATGTATATATAATTTATTTGTATAGCAATATCCGCTAAAAACGTTAAATGTTTCAATTGTATATCATAATAAAGTTTTTTTGTTTTTTTTAATTGAGTGGACCCCCAACACATGGGCCAGATACCAGTTTGTAAATGATTGTTTTACAGTCTTCATTTGGATTAGGATCTGTCATATTACCATGTCATGCACATATCCATCCTATTGGCATTAGACTGTTCTACTTGTATTCTAGCACTGAGGGGCCAGCATTTGATCTATGTTTTACACACACAAAAAATACATTTGCTGTTATTTAATGAAAGACATATTATAATTACATTTTGAGCATCATTATGTTCAACATTTTTATATTTTTCTTACTCTGGTTATCTGAGGTCAACATGAATCACTCTTACTTCCTGTTGTGTTCATCCCACTCCATGTCTAACCAAGCCATACTCATTTTATTACAATTGAACTTTGCCTCTGCTCACTGCTCCCTTTCTCTCTGCAGATATAAAAAGGGGGGCGTGGCTTCTGGCTTTAACCACGTTGAGACAAACTCGTATGATGTCCAGCGCTTGCTTCATGTCAAAGGGAAGAAACATGTCACTGCATCAGAGGTAGTCTTGATAACACACAAGTATTCAAATGGGATTAACACTGTTCCTCATTACCTCCCACTGGTGCGATCACAAGCTTCACACAGCCACACTGCGAGGGGTTCTGGCACTCCCACCAAATTATGGTTCTCTTATTGCCATAGCTGTCAAGGGATGTGTCAACAGAGTGATGTTGTTATTGCTTTCCCAACACAGCGTTTGTTTCTGTCAGGAATATAATGCTTTTATGACAGCGTGTTTAACCTTGTGTCCAGGTGGAGATGTCATGGAACAGCTTTAACAAAGGAGACATATTCCTGTTGGACATGGGCAAAGTCATAGTGCAGTGGAACGGTCCCAAGAGCAATAGACAAGAGAAGCTCAAGGTAACTGGTGGCTAAAATGTTGTGGCACTCTAAAATACATGAGTTATTTTGCAATAATAGTATTTTTTTCACTCCATACACAATACTCCATCCAAAGAATAGTCATTTACCATATTAAAAGAAGTCTTATGAACCATGCCTTATATAAATTACCATAAAACCCCCTACAATTGGTTTCTTTTTCTAATTAAAGACATGATCTTTATATATTACATAAACTGTAAACTGGTATAGATGTTTTGTACATTTAATGTTTATTCTTCCCAGTCCCAAGCTTGGAAAAATGACGTTAGGGCATCTGGTGTAAAATATATGCTTAATTTACAGTTCATAGCTGCTACAGTTAATTAACAGTGGGTTTCCTCTGGGCACTCTGATTTCCCCCATCATTTTAAAAACAATGAGTAAAATCTTCCAGCTAAGTTAGTACTGACCAAGCCTAAGCAAGATCTGGAGATGGTTCCCCTGCCCCTGACAGGTTTCCCCAGTGGTATTACAGAATGGGTCAAATGAAAAAAAAAAATTGTTTAATATTTATATTTAGTGCTGATGATGTATAAATGTACTGATTGCTGTTGTGTTGCAGGCTGTCTTGTTGGCACAGGACATCCGGGACAGGGAGCGGGGGGGCCGGGCTGAGATTGGGGTGGTGGAGGGGGCAGACGAGGGGAGCTCTCCTGAACTGATGAAGATCATGATTTCTGTACTGGGACAAAGAAAAGGAGCCCTGAAGGATGCTATACCTGATGACCAGCCAGACCATGCACAGAAGAGCTTTGTACGACTCTACCAGTAAGTAGTGTGCAGTTGTTCTTTTTACATGCAGCTAATAGTTAACTGATATTTTTTAACCACTTTGTCTTAGTGTTTTTGAAGAAAGTGGGAATCTGGTGATTAGAGAGGTAGCCACTCAGCCTCTCACTCAAGACCTACTTCTGTCCTCTGTAAGCAGCAATATATACAATGCTCTAACCTTTATAGCTCTACACTGCTTAGTTGTTTTTTTCTCACATATTCCTTTGTTCACAGGACTGCTACATTGCAGACCAGAATGGCTCCTGTGTGATGTTGTGGAAAGGCAAACAAGCCTCAGCTGTTGAGCGACGGGAGTCTTTGAACAGAGCAACGGTAACTGCTTTTATATATAGCTTAGACTATACTGTACACTGTATACTGTATTTAAGTTAACTAAAGTTGTTTCTTTTTTAGGGTTATATAAAAACCAAAAAATACCCACCAAGCACCGCTCTGGAGGTGATGAGTGAGGGAGGGGAAACTGCTATGTTCAAGCACCTTTTTAAATACTGGAAAGACAAAGGGCAAACTCAGGGCCTGGGTACCACACACACAATTGGCAAAATTGGTATGTTTTACTTTTATATTTACTTTTATATAGACTTTGGAGATGTAAAAATAGAGTTGGATTAGCATATCATTTGTCTTTTCAGCCAAAGTGGAGCAAGTGAAGTTTGATGTCATGGAGCTACATGCGCGTCCTGATCTAGCAGCACAGCAACGCATGGTTGATGACGCTTCAGGGGAAGTGAAGGTAAAATAAAATACATGTTGTATTAACGTTGTGATTCCTAAATAAGTTGCTATAATATTTGTATTTATTGCAGATATGGAGAATTGAGGACTTAGAGCTGGCTGAGGTTGATCCAAGCACATATGGACAGTTCTATGGAGGAGACTGCTATTTGGTGCTCTACACATATATGAGAGCCAACCGACCACAGTACATCCTCTACATGTGGCAGGTAAAAAGTCAAAGATTCAGCAATCCCTTAATTAGTAATTAATCATAAATTAGCATACTTATGTTTGTCTTTTAGGGTCGGCATGCTACCAAAGATGAGATCACAGCAAGTGCCTATCAAGCTGTTAACATTGATAACAAATACAACGGTGCCCCAGTGCAGGTCAGAGTGACCATGGGGAAAGAACCTCGGCATTTCTTGGCAGTTTTTAAAGGCAAACTCATCATTTTTGAGGTATAAAACTAAAGACAATCTCTACATTTTAATATACTATATGTTGACCCATGTAATACATTGTTTATCTGTCAGGGTGGCACAGGTCGGTCAAGTGTGAAAAACGCTGAAACTGGGCCTAGGCTCTTTCAGGTCAAAGGAACAAGTGAATTCAACACCAAAGCCACTGAAGTCAAAGCAAGAGCATCATCCCTGAACTCCAATGATGTTTTCTTGTTAAAGACAGAGAGAGCGTGCTACCTGTGGTACGGAAAGGTATGGTTAACATCATTGCGAGCACCCTTTCCTCATTTCAATACTGTGACTTGTGACCCCTGGTGGCTGCATTTAGTCATTAAAAAATATTATACTTCATGCCCTTTCCTTTATGTTTTAGGGTTGCAATGGTGATGAGCGTGAGATGGGCAAAGCAGTAGCTGCTGTGCTGTCAAGACAAGACAAGCGGGTGGCAATGGAAGGGCAGGAGCCAGCTGAATTTTGGGTTGCACTGGGAGGGAAAACTCCATATGCAAGTGACAAGAGGTAGATGGACTAACAATTGGAATATGTAGCTGCAACTACTACTCCAAATGTTCCTTAACTTATCAAATCTGTGTCAAAAAAGTTTAATGGATCCTCCTCAAAAGTCTCTCATGACACCAACTACTGGAAACAGCAGATGCCACTGAATTCAGAGCAAACATAGATATAAACATAGATTTGGGCTTTTTTGACTTGAACCTCCAAATTGACTTAGTTTGCACAAAAGTTCCCAAAATATAACTAGGAACAGTAGATAATGCTATTCGTGTGGATTTAGTGATTAGATTCACTTTAAGTTCATGATCTTGTAATAGAAAAACAAGCAAAAACAAATGTAATAAAATTTTGAATGATCTTTGCAGTCTGCAGACACAGGAACCCCGATACAGCCCTAGACTTTTTGAATGCTCCAATCAGACGGGACGCTTTGTGATGACAGAGGTGGTTGACTTTGCTCAGTGCGACCTGGATGAAGAGGATGTCATGTTGCTTGACACATGGGAGGAGGTGAGTACAACAAATAATCTCAAAATGTATTGTATTATATGTCTAGTTCCAATAGATATGTCAATAGATAGATACTTTATTTACCCCAAAGGTAATTAATTTATTAATTTGTTTTTTTGTCAAACTTTTGCAGATTTTCCTTTGGATCGGGAACTTAGCCAATGAGTATGAAACCAAAGAGGCCTGGAACAGCGCTCGGGAATACCTAAAGACCCATCCTGCAGGTCGTGACCTGGACACCCCAATATGCTGCGTCAAACAGGGAAATGAGCCGCTTACGTTCACTGGATGGTTCAACGCATGGGACCCTCAAATGTGGAGTGTGAGTGGAATGTGTTCTATAATGTCCACAATGTTTGATTTTTCTGTCTAAGCAAGTCACTAACAATACAAATCAGTGCATTTTACTAAAGTAAAATCCTAGCTGACTTGATCCTCTCAACAGGGAGGAAGTACCTATGAGCAGATGAAAAATAAGTTGGGTCGTGAAACTTCAGTATCCCAGATTGCTTTAGTAAGTAATTGCATAATATTAAAAATTACTTACTTTTCTTTTACTAACTGAACTGTGATTTACTCACACTCTACTCACACTCTATAAATATGTATGTGTGTGTGTGTGTATATATATATATATTTTTTTTTTTTACTGAGTCATACAAAAAATGTACTTGAATTATGAAAGAAAAAAACACTCTTACTTGAACTGACTAACAATTTTGCTTAAAATCTATATAGTATAGTATACATATATATATATAACAGTTCAAATGTGATGTTATTTCAGTTCATTTTAATTTAGACATTATTCTTAACAATGTATGCTTTATTACTGTATTGAGCAAACATTTATTTTTCACACATTTCATTGTACTTGTAGGACTTGAACACCACTAACTTAAATAAGGGTTCTAGTGATGGTGGGTACAGGGCTCCGGGCGGCCCTGTCACCTCCACTCCAGCTTACAGAGTGCCTAGCAGCCCTGGGTCCCATAGGTCCAGTACCAGCTCCTCATCCATTACATCCAGTGCCAGCGGAGAGTTCACTGTAGACCCCCAGCTACTTATCAACAAGTCTGCTGATGAGCTGCCCCCAGGAGTGGACCCCAGCCTGCGAGAGGTAGGCAGGGATGCACTTACACGGGACGGGCACTAGAGGGCATGTGTTCATCTTCTATGTTATTACAGGAGTACCTTTCTGATGCGGATTTTGAGAGTGTGCTTGGGACAACACGTGCTGACTTCCAACGGCTGCCAAAATGGAGACAAAATGACATGAAGAAAAAGGCGGGACTTTTCTAAGAAATATTACAATAATATTACAGGTTATATCACATGTCACAGTAACGTTGTCAAAGCGGTTCTACTGTAATACCAAGAAGTAACCCAGTATTTATAATTTCTCATGGAACACAATGAAGTTGATTGAAATGTGTTCTAACTTCTAATACTGTTTATAATTATAAAGTGCCTAACTACTGTATCTATTCTTAATATTTTCATTGAAATCAAAGTACTTCGCACATGTGGACTGCATTATATTTTATTTGACTTGTTTATTATACAGTGATTGCTTTCTGCCTGGTATTTCATTATAAATTATTATAAAATAATAATAAAAAAAAAATCACGTTTGATCTTTGATAAACTTTGATTTTATTGCAAGCTAGTGCAAGTAGCTTAATAATGTACTGTAGTTGTGTTAACAGCTTAATGCCTCTAAAATACTTGATATTTTATGTATAGAGATCTTCATATTGTTAATAAACATCAGAAAAATTTAAAAATCACACAACTCATTCGCCAGACAATTATAACACAGTATAAAATTCTATTTACAAATATTATTTTTAAACACACAATCAGTCAATTTCCACTGGTAGAAAGAATTGGTAGCTTGTTAAACTACACCATAAAGAGAAACATTAAAAGTATTCATTTACCAAGTTCATCCTCTGTTTCTAATTCTGAGAAGTTAATACAAATGTAATGCATTGTAACGTATTGTTCTGGTGAACTGTTAAAGCATTATGTAGCACATAGCTACTTCATGTGTACTGGGATCAGATTTCTAATAGGCTAATAGGCTGTTGCTGGTAAGAGTTCATAGTACCTAAGCTTTCTAAGCATCAATAAGCATAATATGAACAAAGAGTCCAGCTGAGCCGATGACATCACCCCTCTTTGTGAGCAATGGGACATGACGGTATCCTGAAAAAGAGGAAAGGATCTTTAGCATTGTCAGCAAATTTCCAGAACAAACATAGTTCAAAAGTGTCTGACCATTTTGCACACTGGAGAGGGGGAGACAGTATTGCGCCACCAGATCATTTTGGGAAGCTGCATCATGATCTTCTACGACAAACCGTACCATGGCCAGCTCTGGGACGTTAATGTCGAACACAAATTTTTCATTCCACACTGGGTTGAATCCTGTAGAGTACACAGTTACTTTTAGCTGTTTTTGAGTATAAAATGTTTTAGACAGATACAAACCATTATTTTCAATGTAATGCGTCTCTCTGCTAGCATTGTCGGCCGGGACACCATAGATTTCCACTCTCACCAGAGGATCAACAATAGAGCTCTGTTTATCCTTGTTGATTTTTGGCAGCTGCTGGCCTGAAATCACCTGATGGATATTTGTCAATTAAATACAAGCCTTATAAATTTAATTCATTTATTCATCTGTGCCCACCATGATATGAAATGTTTTCCTCTTCAGCCAAGGCCCGTTTGTGAGTGTGTTGGGGTCAAATTGTGAAGACAAATCTCTCTGAAATTCAGGTTTCAACACATAGCCACAGAAACCATTTGGCAGAAACCGTCCTTGGTTTATATGCATCTCCTTAGAGGGGGTCTGGAAATTTAATGCAACTAAAATGGAAAACAATATTAAAAGTTACTCTGTTTCTCTGAACAATAATAATACTATCTGTGGTCTCTGAGGTCATGCATGAGAACATACCAATCTGGCAGCCCACGTTCCACATGGGCACAGGGTTGTAGTTGGAAGAATCAGTTCTTGACCCAGCAGGGTAAATCCTGCTTAATTTATCCATATTGTGATGCATAAAAGCTGTTCCTGAAAAAAAAATACTTGTTTATAGGATGTATGTATTTTATAAAATGAAATATTTTTTATTCTCTTTACCTGAGTTCTGGGCCAAACTAAAAGCTTTGCTCTCTTTGAATGAGGACATCTCATAAAAAGCCTGATTGTACTTGGCATGTTCAAAGCTATTAAAATGAACACTCTTGCAGTAAATGACAATGTCAGACAGCTCCTTGGCCAGTTTCATTTTGGATTTCTGTCAGTAAGTTATGTACAATAACTGTAAAACATGCAGTGTATAACTTATACATGTACTTTAAAGAATTGTGATGGTCAGACCTTTGACTTGGCCTTCTGTCCATTGTCTTTGACTTCTGCAGCCTCGTCTTCCTCAGACACAGTGTCCTCGTCCACGGTGCAGTTACTGATGAAGGCTGTGTCCAGTTTGTTCAGGCGCTTGCCTTTGATCAGGAACCTGCCCTTCAGCTCCTGCACACACAAGACTCAACATGTCCAAAAGAATCTGACAGTGGGATCAAGTCTAACGCACAGTGGAGAGTGTTGTTGAGCAGGGCCATATTGTGTCAGTGGATGGTCACTCCCTTTCAGTAGTCATCACAGAACAGAAACTCTTGTGTAATTCAAAGCTATAATTTTCTGAGGCAGACAACGCCATGCCCATCCCCACTGTGGGCTGTGCAAAGAGACCAAACCATGCTGCCAAATATGCTTCAAGAGGGCAGTGCCCACAGTATTCGGGGTAGTACTTGTTTCCCAGCTGGTTTGCTGAGTTCATAGTTTACATTCTTATCGGTGAGTCATCTTCAGATCTATGGAGATTAAAGTTCACCTCCCAGTAAAATAAACTTCATGTTACTGTTCTTTAATCTACACACGCAAATGCTACTCTTATTGTTTAAGAGTCTTTTGCTATTAACCTTTGGACATTGTAATCAAATCACTGTCCAGTTCCAGGCAAAGAAAATAAACAGGAAATGGATTCAACATGTGGAATGAATATTAAAGGCATGGCCTTTGGTTCCTTGTTTGACCCCACTGGTGGATGGGGTTCATTTGTATTTCAGACACACATTTACCTTGGGTGAAGGGAAGTTAGTGGGCATTCTGTCTCCCAGAGGCTTTGTGATCAGTGCGTCCCCCAGGATAGAGATCATGTGGTAGGCCATGAGCTTCTGCTGCTCCACGGTGCAATGGTTCTCCAAAGAGAGGATGACGGGGTATTCTGAGGTCTGAACATGAATACAATAGTCACATGAGGAACAGCTCTGTGATAGCACCCACACACTATAAACCCACGTCTTACTTTGAAGGCGTACTCTTTGATGGCTTTTATCACATCTCTGAAGAGCACTTTGGACGTGAGTGTGTAGCCGTGGTAAATGACTGGCTCTCCATTTGCCCCATCCCAACAGTCCAGCTCCACACAGCGGCAACTCTTCATTAGGGCTCTGCCACAGACAAAAATCTTTCTTATTAGTCTGTTGTTACCATGACATTGTTACTTTCCTCATATATGTTCAACTTCCTTTTTATATAAACAAAGAAAAAAACTGCAAATACTACAGTATAGTAACAGTTTACTTTATAATATACTGAACCATACTTGATATAGGCCTCAATGCTGCTGGGCCCTTTGAGTTGATCCTCCATCAGGTACGTGTTATGAGATGAGGAGATGTAGTAATGGTTGAGGGGCTGGTTCATGTCCTGGTAAATTCCTTTATGTTTGTGGTTAAGAATAGAGCCCTCCTCGTGCTGCATGTACATCAAAAAGCCATCTTTAGTCATGTGGTTCCTCTCCTTCGCTAATGGACAAAACAGACACATAAAATACAATACCGTTATGATACATATACTGCACACTGAGAGAAGATGCTTACCTGTGTCATCCATCTCATATTTATCTATGAGTTTCACAGCATCATGAATAGTTGCCTGCTCCCTTTGTTCATTCAGGAGGAAGTGCAGCAGGTCTCTGGCACTAATTTGATCATCTGTCCTGGCATATTTCTTATAAATCACATCAATTTCCTCCCGATGTGTCAGTAAGTCATAAAAGTGCTTGATCTCTGTGTCTTCCAGAGTACCAGAATTGGATGTGTCACATCTCTAAATACACAATACAAAACAGATATATTAGATTGAAATGGATTACCACACAGATTGGTCAGAAATTATGAGAATTGAAAAGCAAAGGAAATCTATTCATTATGAAACAGTTAATGGTTAGAAAGTCAGCGACAAATAAACACGTTCTCAACTATAATTTGGATTTGATCACAGCTCTTGTAACTATGTTATTTTTATCATATTGCTCTGCTCCATCTTAAATACATTGTCAACATTGTGCCCATATATAATAGATGCTTTATGTTTAGACAATTAACTATGTCATTGTCAATATACACACCTTAAATAGATCTGCTGCGTAAGTGTCATCCACTTCCACATTAATCTGTCTCAGAAAGTGCTTCACCTCTTTAAGCGTCATTTTGTTGTCTTTGTTCTTGTCAGCTTTTCGCATGCAATTAATAAGCCAGCTGGAATTTGTATGTAAGGATTTCCGCCGTAGCACCAACCCACAGACAGACAACCATTCACTCCCATTGAATAACAATGTCAACAGTGCATGTTATCCGATACTCGGAGGTCTTTGTAAAGGATACTGTTCATTCTTCTCTTGCCGACTGAGGTTGTACATGTTGCTAATGACTTTCTCCAGACCATTCACCCACTTTTTGGCCTGCTCTGGATCCTCTGCCATCAGGTCCAGGTTTTTCTTTTTGCCCTTGAAGATGATGGAGAAGCATCTGTCCTCTACACTGGGGTCTGTGTGCTTGTTTAAGCCTTCAGACTGCCGGCCCCTTCTCAGCGAATCAATGTCATCAAGTGAGACTGCACAGAACATATTAACATATTATATATTAACATAGAATGATTTGTATTCAGTATAATTAACGTAACGTAATAGCACTCCAATGGGACACTATTTAAGGTGAGGGGCCCCAAACCTTCTTTTCTCCACGGAGATATTATTTTGCCTAGATAAGATAGATAGATAATACCATACTGTGGTGGAACATTTGAGGGAAAGCAATAACCTTTTCTTAAGACAAGCAGGTGATGGAACCCACACCAGAAAACATTACAGTGCAAGATGAGTTCTATAATAGAAAAGATACTGATAAGAGAGTTTGTGCATGCATTATAGTGTTGTTCATGTTTTTCCGAAGTACAACTAATTTCTAGCTATGGGGCACAAGAACCCATTTATTAGTGGTTATCAACAGGAAGCATACTGTGTCTGTGGGAAGGTCCTGTCTGTAGACTTTACCCACAAGATACAAATTCATGTCCTTTGTTAACATAGCTGCTTTATTGTAATAAATATTGAATGAAACAAACAAGCATTTACTATCTATTTGTAGAGTTTAATATGTATATCATAGATGTCATTATACTTCACGGCACAAAAACGCAAAACACTTTACATTTTACACACCAGAGAAGACAACACTGTTTTACCAGTAGTTCATATCCTTTAGTTAGCCTGTGTATTTTCTTTAGCAAACACAAATCAGTATATGTTATGTTAACCATACATTAGTTGGTCTTTTTCTACAACAGCATAATGTACAGGGAGCCATGCACAATCACGCATGACATAATCTGTGTCAAAGGCCTCTGTGTTTGACAATAAAGGCTCTGGGCTTAGCTGACAGGACATATGTTGTTACAGACACAGCTTTTCTGCCCTTGACTTAGAATTTACCAAAAGGCAACTATTGTTATAAAACGTACAATAACTTTTCCAGGAGGACAGTCCAACTGCTTGTCTACACAGAAATATTATACCTTTATCTAGAATGTTTCACAATATGGCATTACATTTATTTATCTATATACTTATCTTTACAGAGACAAACAGGTGAGGCAATCAGATCAAGTTACAGGAGCAGTAATACATCTGTAAATGAAGTGATGTCCAAGATGAGTTTGTTCCATGCTGTGGAACATTTCAGGCAAAGTACTGTAGCGTGAATACCATGAATGTCATAGTAAAAAGTAGAATGGTGTATCTGATAATCTAGAGAAAACCTGAACATGCCTCGAAAGCACTCACTCTGTTTATTTGCACAGCATGATGACTACTGAAGGTGTGAACTTGGAGTTGTTTCAAACAGTGCTTTGTCATCTGTATCAAGTAAAAAGCCTCAAATTAAACTGAGCAGATTAAGCATTTTCTTCTTCAAAATACCCTACATCTATAATTAACTCAAGTAGGAATAAAATGCTTTTAGCAAAGTATTTATTTTAACACTGAAAAGGTAAACTTGAAAAATGTATTTGTAACACTTGTGCTTTAGAAAATGCTAATTTCCACTAGAAAAACTGATTTTCACATGTCAGACAATTTGCAATGCCAATCTGTGTACAACCAATTGTTTTGATTGGGTGAGCCACGAGATTTAGTCACATTTTTTTCTGGTTTCAAACCAATTGTGTGTAATGCAATTAACATTTACTGCAACTGAATCAAGAGACCCATCTTTACCATCTCATTAAGTTCTGTGCATAGTTGAGACCCATAATCACACAAACCTACACTATGTATTCTTATCAAATGTAGTGAGGACAATGGGAAACAGAGGTGTCTAGACACAGTTGTAAGGTCAAACCTTATCATGCCATGTTGCACTGGAGCCATGATGCATGATTAGAGCATATGAACAGCATATAATAAAATAGGTTATAATCACACTGCGATAATAGGTATGGTCTTCTATGGACCATACATAGTCAAAATTTTCACAAAAGGAGCATACAAACACCCACCCAGGCTTTACTCCTGGCATGTAAGAGAGAATGAACCTCCAGCAAACTGTATGTTGTTGTTGGGAGAGAAATAACAATTACTGAAGATACTCACATGTTTTGTTTTTTCTGATTTTTTTATGGGAGGCATGCCACAATGTTCTGCAGTCTTCATTGAGTTTGTAAAAGCGGTTCTTTTGCCATGAGCTAGAACGAATCTTCACAAGATTCCCCCCAGAAAGCAGGAACTGTAGATCTGGATCTCCCTCCAAGCCTGAACAAAAACAAAGTGTTGTGATAATACAGTGATGTCAAGTGATGTCAAATTGCAAGCACTGTAAACATGGAGATTACAGGATTATAGGACGAGGTGTACAAATCATCTGAAAAAAATATTTTAAAAGCCATAATAAATCAATGATCATAAAAAGTAAATGTCCGTGCAGTCACTACATTTACAGCACAGGTCTATAGCCAGTCATGGGAAGAATACTTTGAAAATGTATTTAGTTACAGAATACTGAATACTTGCTTTAAAATGTACTTTGTAACATATTCTGATACATGGTTAAATCACAGTACAGTACTGTTTTCTTTAACATCAAGTTGCATTTAAATTATAAGATGCAACATAGGATTTTAAAAGCTTTATGTTTGTTTCACTGTGTGTTATGCGTTTCCCAAATAATTAGAGAAGGAAAACACATGCTATGAGAGCAATGTTTGTTTTTGTTGATTTTAGAAAGTAACTGTATTCTGAATTTCACCAAACGAAAAGGTAAATGTACCGGAATACAGGTACTCAAAATTAGTTCAGAATACGTATTCTCGGTACATTCAGTTACTTCCCTACACTGCCTATTGCCTACAGCTGCTTCTCACTGGAAATTTTGTTTGGGAATGTGGGCAGAACCACGGCATTACAGACATTTTTTCTCAAATCCAGATCCTGAAGTATTTGAGTTCCACCTCTGCTGCTACCCATGTTTAGTAAATTTTTGTTAGTCATATGGTGTTTTGCAATCTAGTAGGCCTAATATGTTGTATTTGTTGTGTTATATGTATGTAACAGAAAACTGAAACTCAAAAAGGACATCATCGCAAATATGTTCCACATGGTGGGTGAGTCATGATTTGAAGACTGTTCACGAGAATCACATGGTCTTCTTTTCCTTCTTAAAATGTTTCAGATGCAGAACGATCTTAGCCCATGGGCCAGTGCAGCCTATGCACAAGTCTACATGCATGCAGCTTAAGTGGAAGGTTTTATGAATGTATACACGATTTTAATAAATAGTGTTTCCAGTTCAAAGTTTTGAAACATCAGGATAGACCTTTTAGGCAATCAGGAAGTCTCTTACGCGTTAAAGCTGAATACTGTGAAAGTTATTCTTTCAGGTTGATAAAAGGTGCTCTTCTGAGCAGTACTCCTGCCTGCGTCGTGTATCTACGTGCTGACAAACTCGCCAGAGCTCGTCCCGTACCCTCGATCCCCTGAGGGACTTACCGAGCAGTCTCCCATTCTCCTGCGCTACTTTTCGCACATGTTCCTGGAAAGCTTTTTCTTCTGAATGGCTCCTTTTCGGGCAATTTCGCAAACAAGACATTTGTCTTTAAAACAGTGAAAACATTCAGCCAGATTTAACGGTGGAGTGCTGTGTAAGATAGCGGATAACGCACAGTCCCTCTCAGAGGGCGGACCTGAATATCGCGTTGTAAAGTTGTGCAGCTGTGCGCAGCGCACACTCTGGAGGAGTCTACCTGTATTTCACCCATAGACTGATTTCACCTCATTTGCTCTACTCGTGTGCGTGCTGCCACATCAACCACAAGTGGTATGAGAGAGCACCCCTGTGCAGAGTGTGCTCTGCATCTGTTATGTGTTATGTTACATCTTATTGCAGCCTATTTTTTTCAATTTCACATTTAATTTGTGACATTCTCAAGCCTTAGGCCTGAAGTAGAAATGCAATAACTGTAATTTAAATTGTTATCTGGTTCATCATAGACTACTGGATCATGTCATGCAGCAGTAGGCTACAATTAAAAATAATATTACAGTTTGGGTTAATGACAAATCCTCGACTGAAGGCTTATAGAATCAATTTCCAATGCCTAGTTTCTAAACGTTCTGTTACGCCCTAGGCTACATAACTTACTTTGTTTTGTTGCAGTCCCATTTTTCGCCATCCTGATTTCCTTTAGTAGCAGCTTATGATGTCCTTGATAATAAATCTGAAAAAATATAGATTTCCGCTGCTCTAAGTGTAGTGGAGACTAATATGATTCGCACAGACTGCCTGGATCATACAAGTTCACTAGCTTTTAATGCGCCCTCAGCGCACACCCACTGCTCCACTCCACCGGTCTGACAAGTATGCCAGTGTCTGTGTTGTCATGGGTTCATTCAGCTCACGCCACTGAGTAGCCTACACCTTTGGAAGGAATTTGTCTTCAAATAGAAATATCCTGATCTGGGGGAATCGGTGGAAGCTCTGTGCCATAACATAGACAAGTGAAACTAATCTCAGCATGCTTCATGCAACAGAACAGGATGACCTAATGTAAGAATGTAGTGCAGTGGCATGCAGCCTGATGAAAATCCCTGTGATGATGGAGACACCCAAAACTCCTAAAATGTCATGTCGGGGTAAGTCCTGTGAAATGTCTGTTTAGACAGTCCCATCTTTGTTTGCATTCATTATCATCAGGGCCATTTGTTCATTGGTCAGGGACAATAGGCATTGGCTGATCAGACTTTTTAGTGCAGAAGCAGTGAAGCCCACAATTTTACACTTTTACCCTGGCTCTTGTCTCACTGGAAATTGCCATATGATCACTCAGAATTAGGCCTAAGTTTTATTTTTAAAACCCCCAAAACACATTATCAGAACTAGTTTTGCCTATTATAATGGCTTGATAATGGTAAGAAGTTCAGAGCAGGGCATGAAGTGCGTGTAAGCCACTTCCAGTGCTTATGTTAGAGCGCATGTGTGGTGCCTCGTGACCCCCTGTTATCTGCTTTAACGGCCAGTGTTCTGTATAAAATAAACGGAGACCTTTCTGTTCGCGCGGTCCTGCAACTATCAGTTTGCCTCTCTCATCTGTCTCTCGTTTAGTACGCTACATATGCTATTTCCTGTGAAAAGAATATCTAACAAAAAAAAAAAAAAAAAAAAAGCAAACGTAAGCTTCGCATGTCAAAGAAAAGTAATAGCTTACAAGAGTCAAAGAGCCTGTGTCCTGTGGGAGTCATGGGTGGGAGACATTAGATTTTGACTACGTCGGGTGGGGAGGGGCGGGCAGATAATGTTTGGGCTACTTTGAACAAGTTTGGGCAGATTTTGTTTTCACACCGATCAACGCGATACGCAATGGTAGGCTATAGGGTAGGCTACTGCAAGAACTCTGGCAAACGTAGCGGACGTCCATTCATTTCTCATACCTGGTCGGAGCGCACCTTCATAAGACTGGTCAGGAGCGAAAGTCCCATACGGTTCCTCGCGTTATTGATAAAATTAATTTTTATGCGTGAAAACGCAGTTCTACGTTTACCAAAGGTTTCACATAACATGTTTTCTCAATCCAATGTTTTTATTTATTTATTTATTTAAATATTACATTTCCTTTTATTCTGTGATAGGTAAATGAAAATGCGGTTCTACATTTAACATGTTTTCTCAATCCTGGCAATGTTTTTAAAAGCCCAACAATGGATTACATACGTTTGTTCAAATATTAAATGATTTCTGTGACAAAACTCAGGTGTGCGGTTTTTTCCTGAAGAGGGTGGGTTTTCGAACGTGATTGGGCGGAAATCACTAAACCCAATCTGGCAACACGGGTGGGAGTGTCGACTGAAGACAGGAGCCATGGAACTATAATAAATACTTTTATTTTTATTTTAGTTAGTTTTATTACACTTCTAGTACTGGAGTCCAGACTTTACCTGCTCCATAACTCAACTGCGCCTGCGTCGTGCACCCCTCCCTGCTGGTTGCTATGGTAACCAAAGTACGCACACGCGGCTACTTTCTACAGCAACTGGACTAAAGTGAGTGATACACCGATGTGTATTTTCCATTTCTATTAATTTATGTATCAAATATGTAAATTACTTTTGCTACCCAAAACTGTTGAACCTGAACTGCTGTACGTTGCATGTAAGGTACAAAACAACGCTATGCTAGGTGATGCAGTCTGTGGAGATGGACGCAGAAGCCAGAACGGAGCCCGTTTCCTGTTCAGAGGCGACAGCAGACAGACACTTGCCTGAAAAGTCTCAGGTACACATAACATGCTTTACATGTAGATTAACTAAAGGCAGTAGACCATAAAGCTGTCATTTCCACAGGATATTTCTCATGTTTTGGAAACCCTTTTCAAAGACACTTACAGCAAAAAAGGAGACACTCCGAATAACCTCATCAAGACAAAAAGTGGCAAAAACAGCTATCATGACAGACACATTGAAGAGCTTCAACAGGTAGGGTTATTGCAGTATAGAGGGTAGAATGAACAGGTTTGTTACTAATATTACTGTATAAATGTCACAAATACTGATTTGGGTTGTTTTACAGGCTTATGCAGCATATAATGAAAGTATGCAGGCAGTAGATATTCTGGAGAGTCATATTATTCAGGCCCGAGCTAGGGCTGCAGAGATTGAAGGCAAAGAGTATGAGAAAATGAAGGAAAACTTCTTAGATTGCTTTAATGACAGAAAAAGTCTTATCACAGGTAAATAAATAAATAAATAAATAAAAATACATCTTACTTGTACCAAAAGCTTTGTGCACATTAATTATATGTGTAAATTATATTTTATTCATTGTTATTTATTCTTTTTATATGCCCAGTACAATCAGTATTTCCACAATGTGTTGACAAAGACCTTCTTGAAATGAACAAGCTTATCTCTCCATGGGACTACTTAAGTGTTCTGAAGCCTAAACCATTACTAGAGGCTCCAGGAAAGGGTAAGTGAGGGGCATTTTAAAGGAGTGCAGATATGTGTAATACATATTAACTAATGCTCTTTGTTGCCAGTCAAACCAGATCCAACAAAACCAACAGTCTCCTACTCTAGCCACATTTCTCGGGAGCCACAAGATGATGGTTACACATTCATTCCTTGTTCTATTAACACTCCACATAATTCAGACAGCATTACAGTTGATCCAAGTTCAGATGAAGCTAAAAATAAGAAGACAATGTCTCGTGAGGTGAGCAGTCACAAGACACATTTTTATTACCCATACAGAGTGTCTAGTACCAATATACTGTATATGACACTGAATTTGACCTTTGTTGTTGTAGACGACAAAAATGACCAAACCTAAACCAAAATGGAAGGGTGGGCCAAGTGCCACAGAGCGGACTGAGGGACAGGACACTATTCGAAAAATTAAAGATCGGCAAAACTTTCTACGCAATCCACGGTTCCTTCCTCCAAATGCTCAGATGTCACAAATGCAGACCGGGTTTGAACAAAAAGGGACAAGCAAAAGGTTCTAATTTATACTGATCCATCTTTAAGTAGTTCAACTATTATTCCGAATTTTACGGTATTTAATAACAATGTAATATTTAATCAGTATAAATATACACAGCCTGCATGTTTTTGTACGTGACCAGTGACCACAAATACCTTGGGATGGAGTGAGCTCAGGTTGTAATTGTGCCTTTTCATTTGCAGTGATGATCGTCTTCAGGTCTTCCAGGCGAACCCCCCAGTACTATTTTTTGTTGAATACACAGTTGGACAAGTATATGAGGTATTTTATAAATATATGAATACTCACATATGGAAAAATACCTTATAACTAAAATGCTATCCCTATCATTTTTATACCAGGCAACACTAGAGTTGAAAAACATGAACTCTGCAAGCCGCCATGTTCGTGTCATTCCTCCAACCACTCCATATTTTTCTATTGGCCTTGGTGAGCTTTGGAACTCACCTTTCAGTAAAATGTGAACATAATTTGATGGATATAGTAATTTTCTTACAGGGAGATTCCCAGGTGAAGGTGGCATTGTGGCTCCAGGCATGAGCTGTAAGTACACCATTCGCTTTGCTCCAGACTCGCTGGCAGATTTTCAGGATTTCATTGTTGTGGAATCTCAGGCTGAAGATCTCCTTGTGGTCCCAATTGAGGCGCGGCGCCCCCCTCCAGTCTTAACTTGCAAGTAACCTTTTTATGAATCTCATTGCTTATAATTTAATATAAAGTTGGAAATTACAAATGTTTTTCTTCATTTTGTTTTGGGACACACCATATGTAGTGTCAAGAGTTCTGGATTGTGGATATTGTCTGGTTGGAGGTGTTAAGTTTGTGGAGTTTTTATGTCAAAATGTTGGTCTAAGTCCTGGAACCTTCTGCGTAATTCCTAAACACCAGTGGCCAGCCTCTAATCTCAGGGTGAGGTCACTCAATTTAATTTCCAATCGATATTAGTGAAAACATCAATATATTTTGGGTAATTTGGGGGCCGGATGTCTCAAAGTACATGTCATAGTTAAAATAATTAATTCTTTGTATTATTTTGTGTTAATGCATTTATGCATTCATCTAGTCTGTGTCCAAAACTCTGTTTACTGAGCAACCACCCTTTGCAGTCAACCCATCACTCTTTTCTCTTCAACCCGGAGAAACCACTGTAGTCGAGGTGTGTAACTATGTTAAACACAGATGGACATTGTGAAGTTAGATGTTCTCCAGCTATGATTTTTGGATGTTTGTTTTTTGCTCAAGGTTGTTTTCTTTCCGACCACTGTTGAAAGAACCTGTCAAGTCTTCACTATCGTGTGTGATAACTGCCAGGTGAAAGACATTTGTGTACAAGGTCAGTACTACATACAGTATTAGTCTTAACAGTTATATTATCATTTGTCTTTTCACAAACTAAGATTTAGTTCTCTTCAGGGGAAGGCCAGTTGATTGCCCTGGAACTGATTTCCGTATCTGGAGACAGGGACATTCCCTCTGCAGGAAAGCTGCATGACCTCACAGCTGAGCACTTTGTGCAATTTGGTCCATGTAATCCGAACTCCCTACAACAGAAGAAGATTGTTGTCAGAAACAATGTGTGAGGGATATATGATAGCACATTTGAAAATGTATTTCTGAAATCATTCTTTGCTTACCACAAAACTGAGCATGTTACAATTTGAAGTATACTATAGTGGAACACATCAGGACATAGAACCTCTGATCTAATTTTCTCTCTTGGACTGCAGCCACCTGGAGCTGCCTTTTCATTGGCAGATGGTGAAGCCCAACCTGCAGCCCCTCCCATCAGGAGAAGACACTGAGGCCTCGCATGGAGAGTTTCTCCAGGACACAGATGATACTTTCCATGTTAGTCCTGAATCTGGGCTGTTGGGCCCATGCCAGGACCATGTGTTTTTGGTCACATTCTGGCCTAGAGAGGTACGGTGCACCCTGCTACAGTAAAGACTCTTGCTACAGTTTTATCTCTTAAAATATCAAATTCATTTATATAATTTCTATAGTATAGTTCAGCAACATTATTAATAATATATTTAATAGCCATACTTTTACTTTACAGCTGAAAGATTATCACAGTGTTTGCCATTTGGTCCTCATGGATATTCCACAGCTGCAATCAGACTCAAGGTAATGTTTTTATTATAAGAAGGCTGACTCCAAACACTTTGTATATTAAGAAAAACATTTGTGCTTATAAAATCCAGCATCCAACCTGTGCCCAATGAATCCAGTGATGTCACTGGGATGGAGATCGAGGTCAAAGGGTCAACTGAGCCTTACCAAGTCCTGTTTGAGCCCTATGGTATTATCATACCAGGGGAGCTTCTTATCTGTACCACAACTCACAAACAATTCAAGGTTTTTCATTATGCAATATTTATGGTTGTATTTTTACTTGTATTGTATTTAATATAAAATCTCTATTTTTGTTATTTCTTAGATGTGGAATCACAGCAAAACTTCAATCTCCTTTCAATGGGAGAGAATGAACAGTAGCTTTCACATCATGGAAGTACAGCCACCTAGTGGTCACATTGGTTAGTGACATCATGCTTAATATATTACCTATTATGGTATAATGATTATTAAATGAATATAATTTGATTATGTATTATTTGCAGTGGAAAATGAGTGCTTTGATTTAAATTTAATTGTGACTGGAGGGAAACCAGAAAAGGTGGTGACTAGTCTAATCTGCCACATTAAGCACCACTACGAACCAATCTCTCTACCAGTGGAAGTTTCCTTTAAGGTATGTTAGTTAAATATATTTTTGCTTTGCGAGTACTATAAATGTTCACAACCCTTTGTTTTATTCCTGATTTTTTGGGAAGGGTCCCACTGTTACCATCTCTGTGCCGAGTATTGACTTTGGGCTTGTGCGACTCGGGGAGCAGAGCCAAACCTCTTTACTTCTTTTGAACACCTCACAGCTGGAGGCCTCCTGGGCTCTAGGAGAGACGCCATTACATCAGAAAGAGCCCCGTGAGACTCAGGTAGCTAACACTATACATTTCAGAGTACATATTCAATTTTACATACATTATAAAGGGACGTGTGTGCTTAGATTTCAGTTGAGCCAAACAGAGGTATCCTTCCCCCATTAAGCTCTGGAGTTGTGGATGTAGTGTTTAGACCATTCTTCTGCCAGCAACTTCAAACTGAACTGGAGCTGAATGTGGAGAATGGAACTGGATGGTAAAGATTTTCATATTATAAGTACAGTATTTATGTAGTACCATTAGATATAACATTTAACAGTCAAAGGCTAATTACTTAGTAGTAGTGTAATATTTTATTGTATGTCTCTGCTAGCCACCTGTCAGTACAAGCCAGTGTGCAGTCCCCACAACTGTGCCTGCTAAACTGTGAGCTGATCCTCTCTGAACTTTACATGGGAGTTACTACAGAGGCAACTGTGACACTTTTCAACCAGACACTGCTAGATTCAAATTTCAAGTGGAGGGTATATGTTGTTTTTCTCATGTTAAATAAACAAAAGCAAAATACACATTGAAGTAAGTAGAAAAACACTGAAAATGTATTTTTTTGTATATTAGCCCCAACTGCAAGGAAAACAAGCATCATTATGTGAGGCCACATTTGTGCCAATGTGTGGTACTCTGGGGCCTAATGCCAGGATGAATATAACAATTAAATTCACCCCACACACAGATGTAAGTGCAAAACATCACCCTGTCAGTGCAAAACATCACTGTGTATAGTGTAATACATATGATATAAAATGGTGAGTGAGCAGTGGTACATGCACAGCTTATACTAGATGGTGAGTTTTGCTTTCATGTTTCTTTCAGCATGAACTAACTGAGGTTACAGCTCTTTGTGATATTGAGGACATGAAATCACCGCTTACTCTGAGACTGAAAGCTGCCAGGGCAAAGACTCTTGCTGTGTCTTATTCTCTGGATCCTACCAGGTAAAACTAATCAAATTCATAACAATACAGTATTCTATGTGCATACTAGTACTTTATAAACACATTTCATTGTAGTTTCCCATCTGACTGGAGTTCCTCAAAACTTGTACTTAACTTTGGTGATGACATTATTTTGAAGAGAGCTGTTAGTAGACGGTTTAAAATAACCAATGAAACGGCAATTTCAGCCCCTTTCTCCATTGCCCCTGAGTTTTTCAGTGGTAAAACCACTGACTCAGATTGCCTATCACAGAAAAGGTAATGCAGCTATTAGACTTGTTTGAATAATGGATTTATTACACAGAAATTGTAATTTATAATCGACAATTTTAATGACAGTTCAGCTCATGCAATGAGGCCACTTCATCCTGCCCAGGCCAAAAAAGTAGAAGAAAAAACATACATGGGTAATTATTGTGAATGTAGCGTTTAAATTTTTAACAAAACAGATAGTGATTATTTTAATGCTTTTGGACAGATTTTGTCAGCAGTCTGCTTGCCAGTGGAAAAGGAGCTGCATTTTTTGTCATGCCTGATAATGGGATGTTGGGAGCATTTCAGACACAGACCGTGGATGTGACTGCCTACACTGATATGTGGGGAGATTACACAGATAACCTCATATGCAAAGTACATTTTTCGGTTTCAAAAAGATTCACTTTGGTGAAAGCACATTCATGGAATTAACTGTAATTGTCCACAGGTAGGAGATCTTGAGCCCACACTTATTCCTATGCAGATGGCAGTGAAAGGATGTCCACTGTATTTCCAGATGACCGGTCCACGTGTAGATAATCAAAATGATGGTCCAATAATAAGGTTTGAGTTTGATTACTCATACTATTTTACTTCTTTTATTTTCTTTGACCTTGGTAAACAGATGCAGACCACACAATAGTAGACCAGTAACACTCTATTAGAATAGAAATTTCCAATATAATCTAGTAGTTTAACCCATCCAGCCCTCACATAGTTACTGCCAAAGCTGCTTAAACAAAACCAGGTAGTACTTATAATTAGGGATTTTTATTAAGATACTTTAGAAAAAAAGAGGCTGACAGAATTGCAGATTATGAAACTTTTACCTATCTGCCTCTGGTGCAGTCATTACTGTCATATTGGGAGAGATTTAAAATGTTGTACTTTATGCTGTCTGCACTGAAGTGGAGAAAAAGATGTAGTTTATGTAGTTCCCTCTGCTTTTATAGCTACTGCAACGAAGAGTTTGTGTCACCACTCTTTATATTTTTACTTTTGACAATATTTTGGTTATTGTTCTGTACCTTATAATTGCATCCCTGTTTCCATGTGTTATAATTATTTTTTTTTAGGTTTGGCACCCATGTATCTGGTGGTGACACAGTTTCCCGTTCTCTTCACATTAACAATCCCACCACTTTTGGTAAGCACGACCCATTTTTAGCATCCAAATAGAAACTTCATGAATCATTTTTATGTGTTAACAGATATTCGCTTGGATTGGAAAACTTATAACATAGATAAGAATGATGATAAGCTGGTGGATCTTGTGGTCACATATGGAGAAGCCTTTCCTGTTAAAGATATAGACGGCAATGTGGTGTCTATCGGACCAAGAGCCTGTGACAGGGATCAAGCATCAGACTGTGTGCTAACAGCAACCTCATCCCTCCAAAGCCTGATAGTGAGTGCTTTAAACCACCACACAGAAACAACACGCTGACACTGTGTAATTTCATCATGGCGCTCCTATGGGGATTTCCAATGGTGTCATAAAACAATCAAATAAATTTCACTTATCTATGCGCTTCTTTTACCAGACTTCTATTGCAGAGGAGGAAGAATGTCTAGCTGAGGAGGACTCTGAGAGCACGCTGGCCTGTTCACATCCGTATCATGCAGAGAAGAATCTAATTTCAGTTCGAATTAGGCCTCATGTTGGGAATCTATCTGACTACCCATACTGCATCACTCCCCAACAAGTAGTATGTTAATGTAATTTAGATATGTACAAAGTATTCTTGATATTGCGTAACTCTTTTTTGTTTTTAGGTTATACCAGCAAAAGGAAGCAGGACAATTTGTGTATCTTTCACCCCACTCACGGGCTCTTCTGAATCTAAATGTGTGGGCAAGGCACTGGGTTTTATAAGTCTAGACTCTAAGGTAATCTACACAAACTACTTAAATTGTGATGAAAAACATGTAACCAAATCCTTTCGTCACTTTGTATGTTTAAGACAGCGATATGTGTGCCAGGTAAAGTTGGTCGTGTCCACGGTTTGGACTTGGAGCCTGTCAGAATGTATCTACAGGCAGTCGTTAAACCTGCCAAGTAAGTATTTACACAATTCAAATCAGACGAGGTTTCTCCAAAAGAGCTCGAAGGTGGTCTCATTGAAATCTTCTCTCATTGCTGCAGGCTGGTGGTACAGATGGATGAAGATGAGGAGTTTCGTGTCTCAGCCAGTGATTTAGTGAAACAAGAATCTAACACAGAGGTGGTTCTTATTCATATTGTTCATATTGTTGTGATTTTGTGGCATGAGAGCTTGTCCCATCCCAAATGCAGCTTGTATTTTTTATAGATAACGATTACATTTTTACTGTCTCACCCAGCCCCAATTTGAATACATTGATTAGTTAAATATTGAAGATGTATATAATTTTAAATTATTTTTAGGATTACATTTTGGCAGTTAAAAGTCATGTATTTTTGTTATCAGCGTACTTTATATAGGGGGTAACCAGAGTGTGAGTGAAAACCCCAAGTGTACATGAGTCCAAGAAAGTTGGGAAAAGCCGCCCTAACAAACTGGATAAAATGAGGTATTGATCGTAGGAGGCACAATCCAACTCCAGTTTCTCTTTCGTTAAAAGCAAACACGTGAATTTGACATAAGCAAGAGCTTCAGGCTACACAACACCTTAGAGACGCCTCTGCAATTTACGCTGAAGACACAGCCTCCGTTTTTAGTCCTCACGTCTCAACCCAAAACCCGCTCTAGTCCCTCCAGCAACCCCTCCACTGGTGACGGCAGCTATGTGATGTTACAACCACAACGAAGTATGAAGGTAAAATAAGGAAAGGGGGGCAATGCAATAAATATCTTGATTCTTGATTACATTTTTTTTTATTATTGTTTAAGGTGAAGGTTGCGTTCCACTGCTCTTTTGCCCTCATGGACTTTGTGGATTTAACAGATGATGAAATGCCAGAGTTTGTAAAAATAATCAAGAATTCAAAAGGAGAAAGGAGCTTGAGGTTTCACCAAACACTAAATATTCACTACATCAATGGTAGCACACAGGTGAGAAATCTATGCTTATTTGTTGATTTTAATTAGTTAATTCAGAATGTACAGTAATCCCTTTTTGTATGCACTATAGACTGTGCCTCTTTTGGCCTACTTGGATATTGCTTCTCTAAGCTTGTCAAATGATAGTCTTGACTTTGGATTCTGTGATGTGGGCACAACACAAACGAAGGAAGTGAAATTGTTCAACGTTGGAGCTAAGACCTTTTGGAACTCAGTTATAAGTAATTTTGTCTTACACTTAAGTTTTTGCCTGCTTTGTGAATGTGTTTGTATTGATTTAAATGTGTACACAGAGTCTGACAAAGAGGACTCGCACATCTTTTGTGTAACACCTGATTTCGGAGTCCTAAAATCCAAAGACCTTAACTCTTCACGGCTCTGCCAATGTCTGCAAGTCAGCTTCACACCTAGGTATACCACTGTATTCATATGCTATGCTTTGTTTCCACACATTTTTACAATAATTTAATGTAATATATTTTTTGTGTATTTAGTGAGGACAGAGACTACAAAGCTGTGGCTGTTATCCGCTCTCCTTTTGTGAAGACACCTCTCTTTATCCATTTGCATGGCACTGGGTCCTTTAATAGGCCAGATCAGCTATGAACTACTCAAACTCACTGTGTGCATATGACATGTTTTTATGTTTATGTATTGTTACTTGGTTTGGGTAAGATGGTACCATGCTTGCGGTAAACATTTAGCTTTACATCAGTCAAATGGCAGTTTGTGGAAAAAGTTGAGAAGAAAAATGCAAAAAAGCAGGAAGTAATGGAATATCTATACCTATGTCATCAATATGCAAGGAATGCATTTTTTCTAGCAGTTAAGTTAAACCTTAATTTAATAAAATAAAAGTGTTGTCATTTATTTTACATTTCATATATTATCAAATCACAACTGTTGTGTATTTTAGACAAGTTTCATTCCTTGTTTGCTACTTATGTCACATCAGTCACATCTATTGCCCATGCAGGAAGTAAAATTATAGACTTGGCCAGATTTTTAGTAAAATGTTAACTAATGTTTTAGTGAAATTAGTAATCTAACCAGTCATATGCACTTTAAGAGGTGGACCATATTCAAGTTAGAATTACACAAAAGCAGCTTGTACAAGAGCTTGAGATCTTGTTAAGTACAAAGGACTAGATAGGTTTATGTGCTCTTTCAGTTTGACACGTGAAGGTATGGAGTCTGAATGGGAGCTTATGTTAACATTAACCAGAAGCAAAATGCATAAACATTTTTTGCTTCATCTCATGAATTTGTAGCATTTGGGTAGAACACCTGTCTTCCCAGGCTTGTATTGATTTATGGTGGGGCTATAGCTGGCATAGCTCACAGAGGAAGAGAATTTTCTGTAAACCCTTTTTAAGAAAGCCAACCAAAAGCATAAAGTATGCCCACATTTGCTTTCACTTATATGTTGCTTCTCAGGAATGAGACAGGCTGGGACATCCCTACACTGCTTTTCACTCCAGGGTCCATGGTGTCCTGTAGTCTACACTAAGAACTCATCTTCTTATCAGTGACTCTCATGGTTTTAATATTAACCAGTTTTATTTACATTATTGTTTTTGAGTTTGATTCATGCATGAATCAAAGAACTTTATACTGGCATTTTCATAGTGTGTCTTTAGTGTTACCCAAGATACACTATGAAAATGACAGTTGCATTTAGAGACAAAAAAGCATTCCTCATATTTTTTGCATGGCTTCAAACCTCTTTGCTAAGCAGTAATGTAATTTACAATTAGGCATTCCACTATACTGTAAATTCAGCTACTTCCATGCTTCCATGATGCAGCAATAATATTTTGAAGAATTTTAAAGCAGGCCATTGTCCCTGATGAGAATTGTGAAGAGTAAATGTACATTTTAACATTCCAGATGAATTTTGACTGAATTTTGATGATCTTTACTTCGTCACCAGACTCACTACAATACTCCCCCATCTCAGTCTCATGTGTAATAATAGACATTTTACATTTAATTGTTTTGGTAACAGTAGCTAGCTGCTCACTGCTCAGCATAGTTCAGCAGTACAGACACCTAAGTACACTTATATCCACAGAGAGATGCAAATGCACAATTGATATTCACCCCACTCAGGCAAGTTGTGCACAGAGCAAGGTACAATATATCTGATAAGTGTCTGAAACCAACGCTTAAGGTGTTTCAAGGGCCAAAGGTTGATGGTCCACTTTAAAATGGGCATAACTTTACACCAGCCTACTTCTTTTTTATTCTATCTAGATGATTCAGACTCTGCGGTATTTCATATCAGCATAAGATGTCCCAATACTAAGTAGGTAGAGGTATCATGAATAATACAATAGGCTACATAGAGTCATCACAAATCATGTGTGGTGTGGCAATGCAGTGCTGAATTTAAATCACCTATAGGGCTGCATGAAACAAGAATACAACCAATTTGAATAAAATAAGACGATAAGATAAGAAAAGAAAGATGGCAAGGGTTACATTTACTGATTTCCAGGACATTTACAAAGCACAAATTCTTCAAATGCCACTGGCATTTTAAAACAGTCCTTCTAACTATATTGGACTGGCCTATTCAGTTATTTTTTCCTGTTGTGTGCGGTCTGTGTATGTGGACCTGGCTGCAGCTGCAAACCAAATTGCCTTAAAACACTCCACCTTGTGGCTAATATCTTTAGTTTGCGACATGTTTTTAAATTATACAACATATATTATTCATAAGATATATATATATATATATATATGTATATATATATACATATATATATATACACACACACACACACACACACACACACACATATATATATATATATATATATATATATATATATATATATATATATATATATATATATATATATATATATATATATATATATATATATATATATATATACTGACGTCATTGAATTCACTTATTAAATTTTATAAACTACAAAATGTCTCATTTGAGTAGCCATTTTCAATTCTGTAATCCAACTGGTTTAAACTAAAAAGGAATCCTCACTACCTAAACCAAGCATCAGCAGCCAATCATGGACCTTTGCAGCCTTTGCAGCTCAGTCAGTAAATTCTGGAGGGTCTGGGCTTTCACATAGGCTATAGTGAGGGTCGTGATTGTAGCACCTTCTTAAACCTGCAAAAGCACAGGCTACATACGTTTCCTTTAAATTCGTTTTGCACTGGGCTCTAGACTAGTAGTTTGCCGTGAACGCTTACCAGATGTAGTTACGCCGTCCGTCCACCAGAGCGCACCCTCCTCCTCGCCCTGGGCCCCGCTGCCTTGGAAACGCACGGAGCGCGTCACCACTTCCTGAAGCTCACGTTGTTTCTGACATCAGAGGCGAAGCTCCGGGAGAAAGTCGCTGCTTCTCACTTGTGTAGCGCGAGAGGAGGAGACGAACGAGCGCAGGGTGAAAACTTTACTCCCAAACAAGTCCTACAACCTTTTCTACCAAATCAACATTGAGCTGTGGATTATGCACGGAAAAGAACATCTTTTTACGCACGTACCGTTGCTCGTGGTTGTAATTTTCTGCGCTTCAGTTTCGAGCTCTGTTTCCGGATAATAGCCCAGTGTTTTGGAAAGAATTGCTCTACTGGGATTTTTCCTTTCCTTTCTATTATTTTATGACAAGTTGCACTCCCAAAGTAGGCCTAATTCATCTTTAAAAAACGTGCTGCCAGATCTGGGACATGGACAGACATAGATAACAAGGTAGGAGCCAAGTCCACAACATTGTTATTCTTAGTGTGTTAATAGCCCCCACTGTTATTTCCTGTTTATAAAGCATTTTTGCTTGCATTTCTTTTCTCATGCAAAGACTCTACAATAACATCCTTCTTCAGACCATCACTGATTCTTGCACATCGCCAAATGTAACAAAAACTCTATGTTAAAAATATGTGTGTTTTATTTGTGCAGATGTTTTCCACACATTGCTAACATTTTTGAAGGTCTTGTTTTGCCCATTCTTCCAGACAGTTATGATTCAAAGTGGTCATACTAATATTTTCCTCCTGTCCTCAAAAGTCCTTTATAGGCCTATCCTTTCTTTTCCACTTTCTCTCAAGAGCTGTGCCTGTTATAGGGTGCCAAACAAAATCCAGCCCCATATTTGAAACAGGGCACTGGCAAAAATCATGCCCCTTTAAGCAAATTATTTCTTAACAAAACCATGTTGTGGGTGCAAGAATACAGTCAGTGAGTTCAGTTTACCATCACCCTGGTCTCTGCACGAGGACTTAAACAGGCCCAAAGTGAGCCTCAAGTTGTCAAAACGAACACACCCACTGATACGCCTGGTGTGCCTCAAACAAAACAGTCCAATATTACTGATAACACCACTACAGATTTCACAGTGGAAATGGCCTTTTGTGACATTCCATTGCACTTTCTTGCTGTGCATTTTAGTTTATAATAATAACTGTTGTTTATAATTCTGACTCAAATCTTGCCACTTGTTATCCCTAGAAGTCAACTAGTCATATGGTCCAGGGTCAAAAGTCACAACGACTCATAGTGGCAGCACTGTGGTTGCCTGGTAACAGCAGAAAACATAACAATCACTGTTTGCAAATACACAGTTAGTGTTGCTCACTGTTGGATGTATGAGAAGACTTGTTATAGAAGGGCCTGCTTAGCATTAGTGGGCATCTTGTACAAATGAGATCTTAAAAATGGATCTTGTTTTCAGTAATTGTTAATGTCTTTCAATTGCAAGCCACCAGGATTGATAGGATAGGTCAGTGAACTATGAAAAGCACAAATGCAAGAACATGAAGGTAGTCACTAGTCAGGTTCTTAGTACTTATGCAAAAAGTATTGTTCTAAATAAAAGTTAATTAATTTTGAAGTATTATTGGAGTATTATTGTTTCTTAAATCATACATTATAGAGTGCTTTTAGAATGCTACTACACCATACTATTACTAAAATACAAAATGTCTATCAGCTGTAGTATATTGCTTGAGTAAAACTTCCATCTCTCATCTTCATATTTAACCAGTTTAGTAACGTTAAAATTAAATTTAATCTGTAGCTGTCTTGGCCTTTTTATTTATCTGCTGGAGTTCAGATGGGTCTACCCCCTTGTTTCCAGAAAGAGGAAGTGGTCCTGATTGAGCTTTGTCTGTGCTGCTTGTCTGCCTGTGAGGCTCAAGGCTGTGGGGACGGCCGGAAACACAACATACTCCCTGACTGGACAATAACACTCTGCTTGTGTATGCTATGCTAACTGCCTCGACTCCTCGTGTGCCGGCAGCCATGTTTGTTTTCTCAATAAAGCTACAGTCTGAAAATTACTAACTACAAGGCACCAGAGAGCACAGATCACCACACCGCTACAATCAAGGCTAAAACCATGCATCAACTTTTGGGTTTTAAGGCATGTATTCATTTTACATTTAGATTTAGATATTAAAATACAAGTCTGGCAACCTGGAGGAACTTAGTATAGTTTTATAGCTCTGTCCATGAAGCCACAAAGCTAGGTCTGTCACAATAACATATTATATATATTGAAGAAATCATGTATAAAAGATATATTTAGATATTTAGATAATATGATACAAGTCTGGCAACCTGGGAAGAGCCACAAAGCCACATTCATTGGTCTAATATTGGTCTCTTATATTGCCCCTTATGTGCTATTGAACAAAATAGCTTGTATTTTATTTTCTGTCTGAGACCTTTCTTTCTTGAACCATTTTTGAGGTTTTCACTATCAAACCAACCGAATAGAAATATAACACTGGAATCTGTTTAAATTGCTTGTATTTCAGTGTTTGACTTAGCCTCTCGTGAATTGCCTTGACGTGTGCTGGCTGTCATTACTCTGCGCAGTTTGGGTGGAGAAACACTGAATGAATGTGATTATAATGGCATGTCATCGCATAATGGAAAATACAGCGAAGTTTACAGATTGCACTTGGACGCCTTTCTGAGGAGGGCCCTGTGTCTGGAGATGTGTACTCGGGACTGGTGCAGGCTCTTGTTTCTCATGGGCTATTTTTAGTGACGCTTGTGTGGTAAATGATAACAGGAGACAGATCTACTTATCTCTTGAGTTAATAGAGATGTTACTTTCATTTAGTGGGATCGCATTACTCTGGAGTTGTTGAAGTATGGATTGAGTTAGGCCTGTATTCATTCATCTCTTTTTGGCTCAGATGACTCACTGACAGGATTGTTCTAATTGTACTATAATGTGTGTTCTTTTGCATGGGCTAAATTAAAAAAGAATTACATCATAACATGTGCATAACATTTATATTAATTTTAACTGAGACCAAGATTGAGTCATTTTTAATTGTTAATGTTGGGTTGGGTCTTTTTAATGAAGAGGTCTATAGCCAGTCCTCTACAAATCTGACTGTTTTCACTTTTAAATGGTGTACATTCAAATTCTGTATTGTTTATGTTTAGGTAATGAATATCAAAAGCCATTTTTATTAGCTTTCAAAATAAAATAAACAAGTCATTCTTATATATGCTTGAATTTAATACACCTTTTTTTTTTGCTTTTAGGTTATGTCCAGTGCAACATTTTAATTTTATTCCCTAAGCTGTATCCTTTTCCTGTAAATTGAAACTCAACTCTTTCTCGATCATCTTGCAATACAAGATCAAAGTTTACTTATGTCTCTATCCTCATGAGTATCAGACATGAAATTCAGGCTGCCATAGTTACTTTCAAAACAGAACTTGTGTGAAGGAGAAAGTCCTGCAAGTTCTAAAATAATACAGAACAGCATGACATTTTTGTGAACATGAGGGTCTGGGTCCTGCTAAAAAGCCCGTTTGAAGTCCTCCCCCTGTGAGACTGAGCCAGAGGAGGTGGGGTGATATATGGTCCTCATGCATGCTGCTGCACTGCCTGGCCAGCCCCCAGAAGTCCTCAAAGCCTTTCCTCATCACAAACGCCTGGCCCGTGCTCAGTCTACAGTGGGACGTCCTGCATTGTCTCTCTTCCCAGAACCAGGTCCACGTGGCCACCCTGACTCATGAGGACTGAGCTGGCACCTGTCCAGCAGACACAAAAGTCACCCTCATATCTGGGCCTTACTAACCACTCTTCCTTTGCTAATGTCCTATTTCTGCAGCCAGTCTGGGTATTGTGGTCGCATCTAGGTGACAAACGATTTGTGAGCTCACCAACCCCAGTTTGGGTTATTTTATTAGCCTCAATTGTTCAACTCTCCAGGCTACTTTTAGTCATCACACTGACTATTTTATTGACAGACAAGAGGCTGTGGAACTAAATATCGGTACTTTCACAGGGAGGTCGTCTTGACATAAACATATCTACAAAATTATGAACTTTGTACAGCCAACAACAGGTTTTTTAACTTTTTTAACCCATCTTCTGATATTTTTTTTCCATTCAAATATTTAGATTGGTCTTAATGGTGCATTATGTAAGTTTTCTTGTTTCTATGGATACTTCATTGCTCTGCTTTGAATGTTAGACAATATGACATTAAGCCAATCTACCTTACAATTATTTATTTACAGGGGCTTTATTTCTCCAAAATATGTAAAAAACAGGCATTCTGACTGTGAGTGGGGTTGCCTCTCCAGAGATCTGACCAGTAACTAGACCTGGTTTTGTCTCCATGATGATAGAAAGCCACACTGTGAAACATTTTTAACAAAGCAATAACATTTCCACTGAGAAAAGCAAGTGGTGAACCCTCCACCAGAAAAGTTACACAATACACTGCTAAATTAGATCAGTCTATTTGTGTTCATCAAATATGTATGTCTGGATTTTCATACTCATTAAATATAAAACGCCTCACTTACGCAATAAAAACTTTAAAAAATCTGACTGTGAGGTCTACTAACAGATTTTTGGGAACCTAAACTTCACACAACCCAGAACAGCCCTTTACCATCCGGCCTTCTGCGTCTCCTGATCTGCCTCTCTCCTCATTGGTTGGCTAAAGTTGTTTCTGTTGAGGATGGTGATTTCTTTTCTCTCCTCATTGGTTGGCTAAAGTTGTTTCTGTTGAGGATGGTGATTTCTTTTCTCTCCTCATTGGTCGGCTAAAGTTGTTCTTGTTGAGGATGGTGATTTCTTTGGAACTCCACAGGCGCTATGGCGGACTGAGGTCACCCTCCTCTCACTGTGAGTGCAAGACCCACAGCCGCTGTGCTGTTTACTCAAGGGCAGTGATGTAAGCAGCCTGAAAGAGCAGACTGTAAAAATGTCTCTGTATATGCATGAAAGCCATTCCTGCTCAAATATTTCCAGTCAGAATGAAAGTGAAATGTGTGAAAAAGGAGGGTCAGACTCTTAATAGTTGGAAAGCCTAATGCAGGGACTCTAATTGCCTCAAATTGTGTTGTTAACTATTTAGAATGCACCACATAAGGACCAAGTGGATGGCCACAAAGTATTTTATTTTCCATTTTAACAGTCTTGAACAGCTAGTTAACAACTTAAAACATTTAATGAAATAAATAAAGCTTGTGTCAAGCCATAAATAATAGCTTTTGATATCATTGTCTTAGTCTTTGGTCTGTCTGTCAGAAGCCCTCAGAACACTCATGGATGCAAATACATACCTACATCAATGTTTATTCATTGTCATAATTATCCCCAGGAATTGTACAAACAACAAAAGCCCTTTTAGACAACAGATGATGAACAGATGAAATAAATTGGTAATTGTATAGCCCTACTTTCATAGCTCCACACCAGTGACAAAAGGACTGAGACAGGCCCAAATAGTTGATGTTAGCCACAACTGAAGCTGGCAGGCATTAGATCTGAAGTGTGCGGAGCTGGTCTCTGGAGCCTCTTCACAGCTCATCATGGAGAGCCTGTTCTTTTCATGCTGGACGTGTGGCACTGAGTAACATGATGAGCAGAGATTAGGATTTGATCTTCAGCTCTGCAGCCCGAGCCAAGAAGTGTGCAGTGAGCTGGGCTGCCGATCAGTGGGCAGCACGGGCCTGGTGTCCCTCTGAGCGAAGGGCCAAACAGATGGACCATCTGCTGAGACTGGCTTAGGATAGGGACTGTTCTGGAGCCCTGTGTGAAGATGCAGTGGACCACCTGTCTGCTAGGTCTTCCACAGCTCTTCATGTGCTCACTGGTCACAAATATACTTTCCCGCTATAGAGGAATTCCTTTTGTCTGGTATGTCAAACACATTTACTTCTATGTATATTGCATATGAGATAAGCAAAAGTTTTGATATGTACTATTGTGAGGTCATACAAATGAACATGGAACAGCTAAGTCCTGCAGTTCTCCCCAAGTAGGTTAAGTTATTTAAGTTAATTTCTGCACCACAGGAAAAGGCTTATTCTCAAATTGTTTATGTTTAATGTTTCTGTATTCTTCTTCCCCCCATTCTTGTTGTTGACTTTGACATACTTTTCATTGCCATGTCCTACCTGTGCATCACAGCCTGTAAATGAACAGTGTCTGAGTTTGCTGCTTCTTACAGAAGAAAATTACACACGGTAGCTTGGGCATTTATATTGTTAATGTGCACCACAAAATATATCTCAGTAAGGAAAGATTTCAAACAGAAACCCAGTTACGACTGGAACAGTAAATGATGCTCAACAGAAAATATCCAGGGAGGTTTTCCACTGGTCTCTCTGGAGGCCCAAACTTTCCAAAGAGTTGGTGTTGGCTGAACTTCTAACAAGCTCAAAGTGCTTTGGTTTTATCACTTCAACAGAACAACAACACAGCATTTGTCACTCTTTGCCCAGTGTAACTGGTTATAGTGCTTACATGATCTTGACATAAAAGTAATACTATCTGAGTGTGACTAGCTTTTCATAACAGAAGCAGCAGGCCAGTAATGTGTAAATCACAAGAGATGATTTCTGATTTCTGAAACTTAACCCGAGTGAGTCTGGTTACATGTAGGTTGTTCCTGTTTGGTAAACTGGGTTTACAATAATGTTAGCTTGTTTTGTATTACTGCAACCTTCATTAGAATAAAGTGTATGTTCCTATATCTTCTCCTGCACAATTTATGTGATCATAAGAAAAATGTTTTACACCCAAAATAAATGGAATTATTATTATGTGTTGTAGTAGTCTGTTTAACTGCTCTGATGTCATGGAGACAATCATTTGTCAAAAACTTCTCAGAAAGTAGACCACAATGTGAGTTTTACTATTGGCCGTTTGTAGCGGTGGCAAACCACATGTCAGTGTTTACTTTGCAGCGTTGTGGACTGTAGCAGCTCCCTGTGGACTTGCAGAGGGACATTATTGTGCATGATTGCTCTGTTTGGCCTGGGTGATCTTTGACACAGATCGCACTCTTCATAGCAGTGCGAGGGTGAAAAGTGCAACTACACAAACATTACATTTTATCATGGATTTCTCATGGAGATTCAATTATATCAGTAAATTTAATACATAGTTATATTTTGTCTCATCCTGATACTCTATCTCTCTTTCACCGTGGCTCTCAAAACACCACAGCTCTTACAGCAAGTATCACCATAAATGTTTTGACCTTCTGAGTACCATCTGATAAACAAGATTTATTACAGGACTATTTTTGGTCTAAATTGGGGCTAAACCAGGTTTTTAAATCTTGGTTTAGTCCACAGAGACTCCCACTAACCACATTTCATTAAGTCACAGACAAAATTATTTTCAAACCAATCCCCTGGCTCAATAGTAGTCTCATCTGTGGACATGCACCACCTGACAGCAGCACTACTACCGCAGTGCCTGAAGCCCCACGTACACTTTTTATGCATAAAGAAAGCTTTGTCTTTGAAGTAAATGTTTTTTTTTTTCTTGGGGCCGGCAGTGGTACATCATGGAATATCAACAGCAGCACCAGAATTATACATTGTCCTTTATTATACTCTTACTTCTTACTTTTTTGGAGCGCCTGGGTTTAGTTTTGATCCTTGTTTTTCACTCCCTGGAACACCTGTAGCAAACAGCCACATACCAAAAGAACATAACTTAACCTGGTAAATTTTCATCCATACAAAAGAAACAATAATCTGTGTCATGATAGTTAAAGCCCATATTACTATTTTCTGATCTATGTGATTTTGTTCCTCATCAAAAACCTTCCTGGAGTTGTGTTTCGCTTAATTCACATGAGTTTAAGGAACAAACCCTGCATATTAAGGCTGAGTGCTTCTCTCAAACAGAAAACACACTGTTCCAACTTGTGATGCCATGTGGTGATATAGGAAGTGCTTTTTGAAGTCCATACACCTTAACTAGAATCATTTGGATGATTTCAGCCCTGGAATTTCCAATCTCTACTGAACTAAAAGTAAAAGGTAGCTGTTTACTTGAAAACCTGCATTCATGACATTACAAAATGGACCAGAGCATTTTGTTACTCAATTAATGAAACAAAACACAACCCTGGGTATGTTTTTGAGCATGGAACAGCCTTACAGCATGGCTAAAAACTCACAAGAGTTAATTTTGTGTAGTACAGGACCTTTAAATTTCAAACTCTGTTCAGTACTAAGGAGGAAAAGGTTCAATACTTTTTACTGATAAATATTCATAATAATAAGAAGATACAGACACAACATTTTTAAACAATTCAGTACAGTTTTGTCATATTTTTGTGATTTATTTCAGTATTGAATAAGTATTACTAATTTGAGTATCAATTAGTATTTTTCAGTTTTGCTGATGATCCTAATCTCATTAACGCATCTATCCTCCTTATAAACAAATTCCACCTGCATCCTGTTTCATCCTTGTTTTGTGCAATTGCAGAAATATTATGATGGAAAGACACAAACACGCTGAAGCATTGTTGTTTTACTTTGTTGTTTTTGACTCACAGGGTGAAGATTTGGCTGTCTGAAAGAAGTTGGGCCTCGTGCTCAAGTTCAGCGGGACCACTTCCTGATGATGACAGTAAACATGAGTGAGTAGCATTTGAAAGCACACATACCTACTTCCGCTGGCAGGAACACTGGGCAGAGAAAAATAACACGAAATAGCTGGTAATGGCTGCAGATGGCCCACTTTAAGAGCTCTTGTTTTTACCTTGTTTTGGTGAAATGTTTGTTTGACTTAATGCGGGCACAGGAACAGCTCTAGGTGCACAATAACATGCTCGGGTTTATTTATATGCACACCTACCAGGCTGGTGAACATATGCACACTCCTACATCTATGTAAAACTACGCTCCCACTCATGCTGTACTTCCATCCACTGCAACAATAGGTTTAGAGTTTTTCACTATTTCATCCATAAAACTTTGCAGTCAAGCCTTAGCTAACTTGATTGGCCACATTTTTCTACAATTGTGAATATGTCTGGTAAGGATAATGAAACTGGGGCACATCTTCTATCAATCATATGTCAATTAATAACTTTAAACAAGATTCAATGAGGGCAATAAAATAAAATAAAATAAATCTGTCTCACATTTAACCAGTTATATGAATTTCCTCGGGATAATAAAATACTGGTATTTTAATTCTAATCTAATTGATCTGACCTGTAATTTGGAGATAGATATGTTTAATGCCACACTGTGGAACATTCTAGGCAAAGGAACAACATCTCCATGCAGAGAAGCAGATCACGAATCCTCTACCTGAAAAATTGCATAGTGCTCATTTAAGTAATAAAATAATTGATATATTGTCACGTTTCACAGTGTTTTTGTTTATTTATCTGCACTGAACAGTAATTTTCAGGAGGTCATTACAAGATAGAATACACTAAATGCAGTTATTATTTTGTGGTGCAGATCCAAATATTTATACTTTGCACTGCTCCCTCACAGATGACGGTCTCCACATTAGACCTGGACAGCACAGGAACTCTCAAAGTAACATCTTTTATTCCACTATGTTACTATCATTCATTCATTCTCCCATGTCAAGTATGTCTGTCACTGTAAACACAAAACTGTATACACACACACACTTACACACACGATCCTCTGTAACCACCAGGCCGTACAGTGAAGTGGTAATACCAGCTGAAAAGGGCCTGTCTCAGCCTCTTGTTTTGAATGGAGTAGTGTTTGCAGATGTCCAGTGAAAAGGCATGGGCTCTTGTACAAACATTTATTGCACAACTATTGTAGCGTGCACACAATAGGCCGCATTACATCACAGCCTTTATTTCTAGTGAAAGATTAACGTCAAGGGTTTAAACATTAAACCCATTAGGTGCTCAATTAGCTGCATCACAGTTTCGAGGAGAGCGCCCAGGAGTGTACGTGTGCGTGTATGTACAGAGCGTAGAGTAGTCATAGAGTACCATTAATTTAGTTGCAATTGTTTGGGTGCAGAATATTCTTGGTAATTTAGTGTATGATAGGAAAGACAAATTACTAAAGATGCACTATGTAACTTTTTTTAGTTTGCTTGTTTCTACTTGGTATGGTATTAAAGTTATCTCTATGGAGAGAAGCGGGTGATGCCACAGGGCCAAGTTACATGTCAGATCTGAGGAGAGGCGACCTCACCCCTAGAAATATTACATTTTGATCAAGGTATTTTTGATAAATAAAAATACTTATAATTGAATAAATGCAAGTTAGATAAGCTTAATACCATACTATCGAACATTTAGACAAGCAGGTGGTGGACCCCTCTCCAGAAAAGTTACACAGTGCATCTTTAAATAATGTACAGACTGTGATAATGAAAAAAAAATCTGATATTACTGTCAAATTAAAGTTTTTGTCTCTGATATTTACTCAGAGTGGACTCAAAGTAACCAAATCAAACTAACAGTGACAGTGGTGTTACCTCAAATAATATTACTCCAGTTAGTGTACGTGAAAAGTAAGAGTGATAAAACCGCATGTAGATTTCCTTGGAAGTTGTAATTTAAACAGTTTAAGTCTAACTGTTTGTACCACGTCTGTAGTGGAGGGTGTGTGAGGGCTGTGCGTCAGAGCCTGTGGTGCTGTAGAGTTGAGGACACATTTGGCTCCAGCTGCTGGTCCAGCCGGATGCCTTTGCCATGATGTGTCTGTGTGCACCAGGAAATCCCCCTCCATGTCTTCATTCTAACACACTCTGCTCTTTCTTCAAAGCGCAGCCTTTCTCATAGACTTTAGTCAGTTTATCTTTTTCATCTGTGTCTTTTTTGCAGTAGATGTTTCACTTGATAGTACGTTTGATTATGTATAAGCAATGGTGAAGAGATTTAGACTTTATAGAGCTAGTACTAGGTATTCATGGGAAAAACATAAGTATCTAAAATTATGGCTGTGCAATTAATTGAATTTTAATCCACTTTGAGTTTTTATCTTCTGGAATAGACAAAATAAAGCTGAATCAAAAATTATGATTGATTCGTATTAGAAAACAACTTTTTTTTTTACCTTAACTTTTTTTTGGTCTTATCACGCAGCCCTGAAAAGTGTAACTAACAGTATTATCTAATACATAGCGGTACATAATTTGCCTGAAGTAAACTAGCTTGGACATAGTTCCTTTTCTCAATAACTCACTCATTTGCACATCAGCAGCAGAGGCCTGACTGAAAGATGCAGCATGGTGATGCAATGCACAGCAATCAGTCTCTATTGTGTAATACGGCTCCCCTTGACTTCCTGGAATTCCCCCCTTTTTTCACCACTCACATTTTACAGTTTTTTTTAGTATAAAGTAGACAGAAAAACGCATATTTTTAAAAAGCACCAATCTAGAAATGAGAGACATTATAGAGGATTCTAACAGTAATTGGTGACATGTTTTTACATAAGTACAATCTATGTCTAACAACCTGCTGTTAGTACAATGTAATTATATGTTATTAAGATTATCATACTATGCATTCAATTTTACTTAATGAAGTAGATAAGGTATCAAATATTATGTAAAGTGAGGCCTTTTTATTTATATATTTTTATTATCTATGTTTTGAGGGTTTTTTTCCCCAATTGTGGCAGTCCAGTTGTTTCTGTCAAAGCTGCTCACCACTCTCTGTTGCTCTAGCAGTTAGCCTTGGCATGCTGTGTTCCAAGTGAAGTCAAATCCTCATTTATAGACTGCCATTAGAGCTGGTACGACGCCATTCTCACACTCCCCCTGCCCTCTTGGTCCCCTCACTACTGTAGCTCAAACACACAGTGGTAGGCAGACCAGTGCAGTTTGTTTTGTATCCTTGACAGCAAGTGCAGAGGGTTGAACAATGCGAGCACATCTCACACAACTCATAATGAGAACTGATAAAGACAGTGCTGTTGTTTTTAGACAGATCTGCAAATTAGTTAATTAATCAAGTAAAAATGTTTAAATAATGTTGTTGACTTGAGGATGCAGTGCTCATTAGCAAGCAAATGTCCCCATACACAGTACAGTTTTGCTGTGCTTTTGTCTTGTTCTGAGACAAAATTTAACTTTTAAAATGTTTGTATAATGTGTGCCAGCTGATTGAATGATTTTTATTCTGACAGTTTGCTGAATATCTCAACCCACTTCTCACTCCCATTTCACACACAAAAAAAAAAATAATTAAAAAGAACAAAACTTCCATAGCTACTGTTTTTGGTTGCACTTTGACAGTCATCAAGTTTATGTATATGAATCAGTCCAATCCAATAGATAAGGTATCTGAACAGTGATGAAAGATTCCTGGATTCTGGTTCAGATTATCAGAGACTGAGTATGTGCAGTCATGTGGTCATAGCTTTTACTTTCAAACAGATCCACAGTATTTTCTATTACCTGATTGAAGTGCATAGAACTATTTGTGATTTTGTGATCTGGTCATTCCTTCTTCCTGGTCAGCCTCTTTAAAACTATGTTAATTTTCAATCCATGATAATATTGAAACATTCTTTGTTCACCATTACTGTAAGTTAGGCACTTGTAGGTGTGTGGACCAGGCCACTGCAGAAACACATTTAATCAATATCTTTGTTCTGTGTGCATCCCTGTGGAGAGCTATAAAACAAGATTTTCTTTTGCTCAATCGATAAATTCCTAACTCCAGTCAGATGAAGGAGCGTTGTGGTTTTGTTCTGAGGTAATACTTGTTTATTTAGTGTGTAGGTGTGATAAGGTCTGTGTTCTGTTTAGTCAGTCTTATCTCCTAACTTCCGCATAGTTGAAGAACATATATCAAATAAGTGAAACCTGTTGGATTGTCATTCTCTTCAGCAGAAGAGAAGAACAGTGTACACAGTGTACAGTGTATTCAAGAAATACTTTTTACTCAAGTTAGGCCAAAAAGTATTTGTTGAAAATACTACTGAAATACACAGTTAAACACAATATCCTCTTTATGATTAAACATTAAGGTGATTGGGCAAAGATTCTGATATTTTTAAAGAATATACCACATAAATTTGAAAAAAAAAAACTCTGAAGGGTATATGATTGAAAAATATATAACCTTCAGAGTTTCTTTCTAAATGAAAAACATTTAAATCATGCAATATTATCAAAATAATGTTTTGTTGTTTGTAAGAGTACTTTAATACAAAAATATTCCTAAAAATATTCCTCAACCAGATGTAAAGGTATTGCATCAAAAAATGACGTTTCTGTTCTAACTGATAATGATCAACTTATCTTTTGTATTTAACCTTAGTGTAAGTGAAGGGAGGACATGTGGGCAGCTTTGCCTTTGTGCTAAATGGGGATGTGAAACATGACGTGCGTGGCTGTGTTGGTTTATGTAGTTTACTCAGTGACTCAGAGGGAAAATGTGCTGGAAAGAGGAGAGGGACTGGACTGGGGTTCCTCTGACTTAAACAGTGTGAATGGTCCAATGGTTGTATTTAGAGAAAGGTTACAGAGTCAGAGTCGGAGAAGTGCTGTTTTGATTTAGTGTTTGTCTTATTTTGTACTTTGAGGTTTACATCTACTCAGCCACTTAAAATAGCAAATTATTTTCTTGCTCAGTCAACATTAGGGCTGTGACATTAATCAAATTTTAATCTAGATGGTCATTCTATCATTTCTAATTATCAATTATGCTGGGCTCTTTTTAATGGAGAGGTCAACAGCCAATCCTCGGTCAGTAAAAGTATGTGGTTTGCATGATTGCAGAGATCAGACACTGGAGGAAGAAAAAATTTTTATTAAAAGTATGCATTGTTTATATTCAGGAAGTCACTTTTATTTGTTTTTAGTGATTGTATATGGTAGAGAACATATTATATTTTGCTAACATTTGATTAAAAATGCACACATTTTTAAACCTTGAAAATGGTATTATAAGATTATTAATGCTCTACTTTCACTTGTAAAGATGAAATACATTATCCAGTCAGTCATAATACAATCCTTTTGTGTGGAAGGTGGGTGAGTTGAATTCCTTCTCTACCCTGTTCATTTTTGGCCATTTTATGTTCTGCCTCCGTGTGTGTTATACGATGGACGTGTGTGTCTGTGTGCATATGCTTGTGAGTACCAAATGAATGGTCCCTTGATGTAGTTCTTTGAATCCAGCAGAGGTAAAACATTGTACATGAATGCAGCCATTTACCACCTAAGATGTTTTTCGTGAGTCTTTGTATGCATTTAATGACCAGCAGATGAACCCAGAGATTACAGCACCGCTAGCAAACAGCTGACCATAAGAGACATATTGTTAAGATCAAATATAACTGTATACTGCTTTGCCTCTTCTAATGTAATTCTAGTGTATAGCAGCTGTATCAGGACTGAAGTATGGTGGGTATGGTGGGTATGGTGAGCGACAGAATATCATTTCAAGACACTAAATACATTAATTATTTTAGGCTTTTGTCTTCTGCATATGAGGAATGGATCTCAAACATGTTTTGCAAACTGTACTTGGCCATGGCTGTGTTCCTCTTCAAAACACTTGTTCTGCTTTGTTAGTCTCATTGTCATCATTATAGTGCTCAAATTCCCTACAGCACAGTGAACCACAGTGAACACACAGTGAACCCACTTCCATGTCATAAACGAGGCCACAGTCAAGTGAATTGTTTCCCTACAAGTATTCCCAGTTCTAGGAAAGGGTGTGCAAAAATATCAGAATTTCGCTATATCGTGATACTACATTTGGTGATACAGTATCGTTACCTTGGGCTACTGTATGGAGTATTTTTTGGTACCATTTAGCAATTTTTTGTGACTACATGACAGTTTTGTTGGTTATTTAGTGGAAGGAAGCTTGTTTATGCAATACACTTTACATATTCACTGTTTTGCTGATTAAGGATTTTATTTAACTTTGTACAAGAAGTGGTTTTGTGTTTAGTTCTTTAAAAGCAGCTATATATCACAGAGTATCATGTGCAGTATATCCCGTATCATGTGTCGCCATATTGTGATAACGTGGTATCGTGAGTTGTGTATCGTATCAAATCGTGAGGTCACTGTGATTCCCAGCCCTAGTTGTAAGTACATTCTATCCATTCTTGCAGGTTTTTTAGTCCACACTGCACTCACTGGATTTGAATAGTGCTTGTGTGTATTTTGAGAGGTGGCAAGGGCAGAGGTCGCCACTTCCCTCTTCATGGTGCAATCACTGCTGCATCATAATTGAGTCGATTAAAGTGCCTTCATATGGAGATGTTCTGACGTGTGCGTGATTGCTCTCTTCACACATGAGAGTGTGAAGGGGGAAGTGCAGCGCTGGTGAGACACTGTACTCCCGCTTATATCTGCGGGTTTATAAAGTGCACTCTAGATTTAATGAATGAGATTGGATTTATTTTTAGAAGAGATAGAAGAAGTTTATAATTCAGGTTCATTCTGTGAAATTTTAACAATGTTTTGGCCCATCACTATACACATTTTGAAGCACGATATATTACTACAGAAGAATTTTACAAAAATTATAATATTAAAATTACTTTATGCTACTGACACAATAAAAAATAAGGCAGAATAATCGCTATAAACCATTTAAAAATACAGTATCATTAAAAAGCGGGCTACAACTAAGAAATAGCAAAATGCACAATTAATTAGACATAGAAAATAACATAAATCTCCCCACTATTGCAACTAAAATATGCACACTATAAATATTAAGCCCCAAATATATTGTCCATATATTATATTTCACATATATTATCATGACAGGCTTATGTTTAGCCTAGACTACCTTTTAATCTATGAGTCCATATTTTGGCTGTGAATAGCATTTTATAGGTGAAGAAAATGTAGACAATAAATGTTAAGAGTGAAACTAATTTATGCCACTAACATAGTAACCCTAAAGTAGGATTATCCCCCCAGAATATTCAAAATGTTAAAAGAGCTGCAATAACAGAAAATGGCAGAATGAAACACTCTTTGTATTATGAGTCATACTTGTTTATTCAAACCTCTACATCTCAGTTCTTATCAGAGTGCAGAAAAGTCCCCCATTGGTACAATGAAAAAGTACCCTTGGTAAATATTGACCTCAAAAATTATTGTTCGATGTATCAGTCGATGGTGTCTTAGGCAACCAAAATTTGTGTTAATCGACTAATTATTTAATCTACAGAAGGTTGTAAGGATTTATATGGAACAGCAGAAAGGAGGAAATTAATGAGTGAATGAGTTTATATATAAAAAAGCAGAACTCATGATTTACACATTTATCTGTCTTTATATAGATACTTTTTTCTGCTGAAATTCTTTAGTGGACTACAGCCCCGTCATCATTTATTGAAACTGATATAGTAAAGTATCGCAATAGGCCTACTCTGTATTTCATATATATTCTACACATTTTACTTTTCTGATGATTTTACTACTGTACTGTAGTTTTTGTTCATTTCATCAACAAAACTTCTTCTAGCTGTTTTGAATCTTGAATGAGGCTTTGGATATGGTCATTTATAGTAGGGCTTAAGTACTACACCTGAAAAACCAGTTTGCAGGGGATTCTACTTTCTCGTGCAGTGTTTTTCCAGTTGGCACACAAAGGGTACATGTAAGGCTACAGACATGCAAAGCGGAAGTCTGACACAGGTGCTGTAGTGATGATTGGCAGGTTAGGGAAACTTGAATGAGTTTTGTACATCTCACATAAATCTCCACTGACAACCCTGTGATTAAGAATATGAGGTCACCATTTACATACTATATCCATTTGTGTTTTTTCTCTTTTTAGATGACGAAGAGGCACTCAACTCTATCATGAAGGACTTGGCAGCACTGGGCCGCTGCTCCACTCAGAACAACAGCCACAAGCCCAAACACAGAACTCTACTGTACAAACAGGTATTACATCAAGACACTGCACATTTACCGTTAATATAAGGAAAAACTTTGGGGAACTCGGGAACAGAGTGGTAAGACAAGAAAAGACTGTTCATAATCAAAACAATTGTGTTCAATGTTTGCTCCATAGCAACACTGTTACTATGGGTTCTCTTCTTCTCATTATATAAAATATGCTATCAAGTGTGAATTGCTATATCTACATTTTCTAATAATAAAGTGTTTATCTAGCAACTCAATAATCATGAGGCATGAGGTATTCCCCATCTAGAGTCATAGTTCCTTGGACAACCACACCCCTTCATCTACTGACAGATCCTGGCCAATAAATGTTGCTGTCAATGCAAAATGACTGAAGCAAGAATGTACGCTATCACTTAAAATGATCATTGTCTCTTGCCCTGCTTTTCTGTGCCCTGCTAAATGACCACACTCGTCTCTCCCTCAATACAAATCTAACAGATATATTTTCAGACACTTGTATAAATCTCCTGTGTCACCTTGTGCCACAAACCCATCTGCCCTGTGTGTCCCTGTAGAATAGCAATTGGTAAATCCCCTTAAAGTGTTTATGACAGTATAAACAAACAGGAGAGTGTGAGTTAGTGAGGGTCCTCTGTGGGTTGAGGAAAATCCAGAAGCGTGGCCTGATATGATGTCATCTCTATCTCTATGAGCTCATCCACTCTTTCAGATCCCTCTGTGTGAAACACGCACTGTAAAAATAGGCAGATGAGATAATGCAAGGTTAGCTATGAGGAAGAACAAACACACATATAAAAGTACATTTTTCAAATTGTTTAAACAGTGAGCCCTATGGGTTTATTATTTGAACACATATTTCAAGCATTTATTTTATTATGTTCAATGAAGGTACACACATCTAACCTTGTTTTTTAGAAAATAGTAAATCAGATTAGTTGAATTAATTAGCATTGTTTTTGTAACAGTATATGTCTTGTATTATTTCACTGGGGTGCACTTGTATACTGAAATAAAAAATAAAAATCAGGAATGGTACCAGTACTGGCTGTATGTTAAATATGTCAGATTTATTTATTGATTTATTTTATTTTAACAATTATTCATGTTTTGTAATAGTGTGGTTTTGTAAGAATATTTTACTGGAGTGCACCTGTACACAAAAAAATAACAATTCAATCAGGAACTGTCCAAGTACTAGCTGTATTGTTTTTATGTACCAGCCTTGAGTCACAAGCATGAATCATTTTCCTCTTCCATAATTCCTCACTTTTGTTATTGTTCCTCTCGACAGGATCTCAGAGTCAAGCTGGAGCATGAGAGAGAGAAGCGGTACGTTGGAAACCTCCGTATTATGTTTTCTACTTGTCTGTTGTTTTTACACGATGCCATGGCTGGAAACCATAGTTACATGCCCGGGCCTTGCTCCACCAACTCAGGACGGTTGGGAAAATGGACAGTGCCCTCAGCATAAAAGAAAAGATAGGAAAAAGTCTCTGCCAAGGTTCATTGTATTTGCCCCAAGTAATACCTTGATCTATTCAGGCCTCACACCCCTCACCCAGCGCCCATCTGCTCCTGTAACCAGATCAGATTTACAGTTACGCTGATGGACTGCAGACACAGGGCCTGTCTGTTTCACTGTTTTACATTTTGTTTATCAGCACTGCTCCATAGTCCAGACACACTTTATTTGGTCTTTAGTTCCTTTGGCCTTACCGTAAGCAATTGGAGACGGGAAATATCTACATTTACTGTAAGGAATAAGCCAGGAAAAATAGACAAAAATAATCAACTACTACTGAATGCTGCTTACTTTCAGATTTACAAAATAATATTATTTCAAACTGAATCACTACACAGTATTCTTTAAGGTGCTTTGAAATCAGAGGGTAGTAGTCGCCCAAGTTGGTTGTAGTTAGGGATGTAGTAGTGATAATAGTGGTAGTAGTGATAGTAGTTGTAGTAGTGGTAGTAGTAGTGATAGTGGTAGTAGTAGTAGAAGTAGTCAAACATTACTTTTTAATTCTCAAGTAAAAGTATCATAGGCATGACAAGAGCTACTTCCTTTCATACTTGAGTACCACTGAGCCCTCCATCCTCCTCTCTTAGCACCACATCCTGTTTGATCACTAAGGCAACACTGGTCAGAACAGAATGAGCTGACCACACACCAGAGGAATCCCTGAAACACAGAGAGGAGCTGACCAGAATGTACAGGCACGAATGATCCGCTTCAGAACACCATGTGGAGCAGAGGAGCACACAGGGGTCCAGAGGCGAGATGTTCCCAGGCAGAACACAGCCGCACAATGGGCCTCTTCTGCACCGCTTTAATTGGCTTCTGCACTGGAACACACCACACTTTCTTGTTCTTGTCTCTCTCCATCTTTTCCTTGTCTTGCGCTTTTGCTTAGTTTAACACCGCCTGCTCTATTAGGTTTGGCAACACAACATGGCATGCATAGGTTTTAATAGGGAGGCATTACTTATTTTCACATCCCATTAGCCTTTCTTGGTATTGTTTCAGCAAGTCTTAAAGTTGACAATATCCAGAATCGACACCTAGATTGAAAAACCAGACACTAATTTGAACAAGTATTCATACTAAAAAAAAGTACCATACATAAACAGGACTAATATGGACTTTCCTGAATGTAAGAACTAGTATAAGAGTAAAGAAATCATTTAATTATTTTGTGCTGAAAATTACATGTCATGATGCAGTAGTAAGCCTCAGTAATGAAAACAAGTCTGAACTTTTTTATGTCATGACAGCACCAATTTTAAGCTTTAAAATGACCAAAATCTGAGAAGCATGCAGTATTCTAGTAGCTTTTAGCTTTTGGTTCAAATGTCGACAGGGTCCACTGTTCCCTTATTTGGTCACTTCTCTATGTCTCCTATATTGTCTGCATGATAGGTCAACACAGTATATTAGTAGGTGAAAGAAGATATTAGTAGCCAAGGTGTAACCACTTTGCCTCACATTTCCGATTACAATAACTGAAAATATAAAAAAAAAACAGAGACCATTTTTACATTAGACAAGTAAAAACTCAGATTGTGTGTCTTAAAAAACATAAATTATTTGATATTTTAACTTGAAGCTTGCACCATAACCTCAATGCTTTATAAGTGAACATTGCATGGATAAATATGCATGATTAGCAGTCTGTTTGTATGTAGTAGTTCTAGTGATAAGGTAAAAAATTTAAAAATGCAAGTAGAACATACCATGCACAAAAACTAACCACAAAAGAGTTACTATAACATTTTATCAGCCCATTGTCTCCAGTCCAGCCAAGTCCCTGAGTCAGGAGAACAGTGGAATCTAATTGGCTGCTTTCTCTTTTGGTTGGCGAGCGCTGAAGGTTTGGGCCAGGAAATCAGAGCTGTGTCTCCCTCTTCCCCTCACTCAGCCTCAGGGACTGCTGCCAGAGAGTAGGGCCGCTCAGCTAGCCAACTTTTGTGTCTTTTCCTCTGTAACATTGTGACCAAGATAGGTTGTGGCAGGGCTGTATCCATACATACTTTTTGTGCAGAAGAGTAGCAATAGTAATGTTAAGTAAATCTATATAGTTACATGGTATTGTACAAATCAATTACTATTAATCTTATATGTATATATTGATGAGCATGCATTTTTAGCCATTTGTTGTCTTAATTGATGTATTTAAACTTCTACAAATCCAGAATAGTTCTATAAGGGATCAATACAGAAGTTGCTCAATGCAGAAAAAGTGAGTTGGATGATTAGTTTTTGCTTTTTTATACTCAAATGCAAATGTAAAATGTAGACCACAGTAACCTTGGTCTCTCTGTGTCAATTAACAGCCTGCACAGTGTGAGAAAACCCATATCTTTGCGAGCAGAATTCATACTGCCCCCTCCTCCGTCCAAGCCCATTATCATGCACATCATCAGCAAGTCTAAAGAGAATTTAAACAGTTGTGCTGCTGGCCTGTGATCTCCCTCTTCCTAGAATGCACTCCTCAAATGAGTGGACCAATTAGTATGATAGGCAAAGCTGATGAGAAAATAGTGCTATTACAAATCTATCTTTCAGAAATACAGTTCAAAAGCAGCATACAGAGTACATGGCAGAAGATAGAGCTTTATTTTCTCAGCCTGTGCCTGGATATCTGTGTATCTGTCACTCTTTTGAACAAGGAGGGAAAGACACACATCCTGCTGCTTTTGCTGCCGCTCGGCATTTTTTTCCCCTTTTCCTCTCAGGAAGTTTCCCATCTGCCTTTGTGCCGGCTCTTGGTGAGTGGAGAGGCCCAGCGTGGTGTTGAAACAGTGGCCCGCGATGTGAAAAAGTGATTGTGAAGCAAGCACACTCACGCACTTTCGCAAATATACACATGTAGTCCATATGTGATGTGATTGTGTTGAAAGATAAGTTACACAGATACTGCATGTCCACACTCTCTATGCATCTCCATAGAACTTTATCTTATACCATTGTATGGGTTGTTTTAATCTTATTTCTGTATTGTATTCCAAATGCGAATGTTCAGATGTTTTGATAGGCTACAGATTATTGTGGTTTACAATAACTTGGCCTCTCAATGTGAATCTAAAAGCAACATAAATATGCAATACTGACAGTAAATTGAACATGAATATAGCCTGGTCAGTCCAAAAAACATCATTGTCAATAAATGGTATACGTCTTTTTCCAGAGTCTAGATTGTCAACACATCTTATTCACTGACTGGTGGCTCATCTAGCTTCTTCCCTTGACCTGGCAGCTAACCTGTCCCTTTTCTGTGTGTTGCCATAGAAACAGTTTTGGAAAAATGGCCTCGAAAGAGATTCCTATTTGATCATTTATCTGAACGTGGTGTAAAAGAGTGTTCGGTGCATGTTAATGACGGGCACGAGCTTGAGGGTGGAATTATTGAAATGCCCCAGAATGACTGTGTTTGTGCTTTGTCCACAGAATCATCCCGTTTCAGAGGCCATTGAAGATCAAGGAGCTGCAGCAGAAAGTGACGGAGGCCTTTGGACAGCAGATGGACATGTTCTTCATGGAGAAAGAGGTGTGAGAGAAACACAGGCTCATTTGAATATATGAACTGCAGCATGGGTGCACTTGAAAAACATGAGATTCAAATTGTGATAGTGACATTACAAGTCTACTGTCTTTTGTCTGACACAGTTGAAACCGTTTTGACTCACAACCAGTGTTTAATCTAGTGGTCAATTAATTATTCACATTGTTATTTCTATTGCATCTTTAATATCAAATAAATTAAGTTTTTGAAAATTTGCCCTCTTTGAGAATATTTACAAAAAAAGGCATTTTTCATCAAAATATTATACTATTTGCCAAAAAATAAATAAATCCAAGAATGGTATGTGTTATGTGTAGTCCATATAATGATAAATGATTAATACATGTGTTATTGAGTTATTAAATAATTAATTAGTTCTAAAATATCAAATTAGTCAACCCTAATTCAGGTTTTGTTTAGTTTAGAGGCACTTTGATTCACGTTTGTATAAAAAAATGCCAGTGTTGCACCAGATTATTCCTTCACTTGTAACTGATGTTTTGACCTGGGTTAGTCTTGGGTTAGCTGGTCAATAGGTATTGTTCAGTTTAAAAAGTCACTGCCAAATACTTTCTGAAGTGAAACTACTGAATACAGTTGTGTATCAATGACATATGGAGCAACCCTTTACGTCATGCACATGCAAACACAATGCACGCTGAAAGGTCATGTGTTGTATGTTTTCTTATCCTTTAGTTGCTGCTGCCTCTGAAGACTCAGGAGGACCTGGACCAGGCCGTGCTTACCCTTGGAACGAATGGGCTGCTGCGTATACTCCTCAAGACCCCCAAGAACAATCATGTGAGCAGCTCTCAGCCACATGTACCTACAATATCACATGAAACTACTGCATATGTGAAGTTCAGCTAAATTCAGCATAATTAATTACTGTTACTGCACAAATAATGAATTGTAATATACAGTACCCGGAGCAATGGACCAACATATTGTGGTAGATTTTTTATTCAAGTCTAACCATGCTTCCATTGTATGGAGTATTATCACCTTTTATGATGTAGGTCAGATAGAGCTATCAGCAACGGAATGTCAACAGGGACCGAGCTGAAGGTGTCCTTGGTTTAATAGTTCCCTATCAGTTGTCTTTTGTAAATCACATTAAATAGTTATGGGCTCATATTTAAACTATTTGAACAATTTTTTTGTACATTTTGAAATCTTTATTAATTATTTTAGATTGATTAAAATGATTTCAAACCAACTTCCTATTTACATGGTTGAACAACAAGATATTAACAGTCAATTGTTTATTGCTATTCATTTTGTTTAATGTAACAGGCTACAAAATTTACATAAAAAGGTAAAGCAAAGAATATAGATAACTTGCTTTGCTATTTAACAAATGAAAGGGCTCTACTATGTGTATAGTATGGATTGATATTTTTAGAAACAAAAACATAGATTGGAGTTTCTCAGAAGTGCTCGCTGGAGCTGTGTAGATTCAGCTCTGTGTGTGACATGGTGTAAGTGGACAGTGATGTAATGCACTTCCTGCCCTTATCTTGTTCCTTAAATGGTCTGTTCTCACGTCCCTAACCCCTCTGTCCTCTGTCCCATGTGCAGTATCTACAGGTGAACACTAGGGACAAGCAGAGTGAGATGAAGTCATCGCGGTCACTAGGGGACCTCAAGGGCTCACTGCTTAAGGGCTCCGAGAGGGTGCGCAAGCACTCCACAGGTAAGGCTCTAAGATTTGTGTTTTAAACTAGCATGCAAGTCACAAGCAATGTGTTATATGTAGCATTATGACAAATCTAAAATGCTGAAAATATCAAGTAACTTCCACACAATATCACTTAGAATCAGTGTTGTGCGATGTTGAACTTGCTATATGAAGACGCAAATAAACTGAGTACTTAACCTGGCCCTGGCATATAAATGAAATATAAATGGTTGTAGAACTTAGAAATTATGACTGCTGCCATGACAATTAATGATTTCAAATGACATATTACATCATTTTATTTATTTATTTTTTTGCAACAGACAACATGCACACAGACATTAGACAGGACAATCCAATACGTAACAATAGAACACAAATGCATACACCATCACAGCAGATGAGGTGTAAAGTGTGTGTGTGTGTGTGTACACGTGTGTATATGTTTAGGAGTGTGTATGTTCAGTAAGAGTGTGAGGTTCTAGTGTTAGTAAATGTAAAAGTAAATATAAGTAAATATAAATGACTAATTGTGTATAGTAATGTAGTAATTCTTAACGTATCGGAGGGATCAACTCAGTGTATTGGAGGGATCAATGGGGCTCAATGCTGAGAATAATGCCTAATATGACAATAATAACTGTACTTATGCCAGTCTGTCTACAAGCAGGAAGAGGAAGAGGTGGGGGAGCCCACTTATGTTTGTTAATTAATTCTTAGTATTGGTGTTTAAGAGTCCTATTTATTCATGTGCCCCAAAAAAGCCTTACCTCAAATGACAGTGTAAGAATTAAAAAGGAGAGATTTGGGTGCATGAGAAGTGGGATAGGTCTTTGTTTTGCCAAATTTGATTTAGATTAAAAAAAATATAATATATATATATATATATATATATATATATATATATATATATATATATATATATATATTTATTTATTTATTTATTTATTTATTTATTTATTTATTTATTTATTTATTTATTTATTACATCATTTGATTGGAAAAAAGTGATGAAAATGAAATGAAAAGGAAGCTAAGCTTTCTAGCTTGGAACACTCATCCTCATATTTTTAATGCTATGTTACCTTAGTTTGTGTCTTATGATGTTACCATTATGTAAGTAAATGACTGGCAAAGAAAAGTAAATGAAATGTTTTGGTGATTGAAGCTCCATCTTGTTATTCCGCTCCGATCTCAAGGTGGCCCATCTTTGTCACTTTATAAATGGGAGTTGACAGTGTCGCAGCAGTGTTAATGGCAGCAGAGGAACATGCTTTGTCAGAGAAGGCAAACGCAGAGAAGCTCTTAGGTGAAAGTGACGTGTCAGGTCACTGCAAGGGCAAGCTGCACTCATCATACCAAGCAGCCCTCAGCCTCATATATGCTTTACATTGCACAATTTGTTCTTATGTAAAGTGTAGACATCTAAGACCTTTTATAGGAAATGTATTTATTGCGCTACAGCTTATTACTTAAAGGTACACTGTATAGTTTTTATAGAGAAGGGTCCACAACCAGGAGACCATGAAAATTGCTTTGTTTGGAATGTTCCATAGTGTGGCATTAAACTTCTATCTTGCATTAATACAAATATTTATAAATAAAGTGTTTTATTGCTCAGATGCATTAGTTTTAATGCCATTCTGTGGAACATTCCAGGCAAAGCAATAACAAACAAGCAGGTGGCAGATTTTCCACCAGAATTTTTCATTAATACAATTCTTGCACAACTACATCATCCAGAGATTCTATAGTTATCATTTGCCAGGTAACACTTGGAGAGGGTTTGTGATGTTATGTCAAACTGAAACCCTAGTCTTCACTTCCAAATGGTTTCCAAACACTTTTGCTAAATCCCCAAAAAGGTCAGTCTGTCAGGCACATTTCAGCCACAAACACAGACGGCCCCATGCTCACTTTCCACACTCATTTGCATTGTCCTTCATCAGGGTGAAAACATTTTAGGATTCTTGGCAGAGCCCCTTCTCCCCCTCTCCCCATAAAATCAGTGCCGTCAACATAAAGGTATTTTATAGAATTACTCAAATTCCCCTGACAAAACGGACGGTTGAGGAACATTTCCACCTTCAGTGGCAAAGTAAAAATAGTCCTTAATGGACTTAATGATCTTTTTTGAAGCCATCTGCTTGTCTCCATAAAGATACTATATTATAGTCCACATTAGAGCATTAAACTTGTTTCCATGGAGACAAGGTGACGCCACTATTAACTGTATAAATTACAAGATCTTTATGCTATACTGTAGATCATTACAGGCAAAGCATGACAGATGTCCCACAACCAACCAAAAAAATTACACTTTAAACCTAATATTATTTGGGCATTTTGAGCCTTAGGATGCTCAGTGTACTCCTTGTCAGTTTAGTCACAGTTTGCACTGCATCTCTGTGTCAAGGACGATTGCCCCGTCTGGGCTGCAGGTTGGGGGAGCATTTGTCACAGTAATTGAGGGTAGAGGTGGCGTCAGTGTAGTTTTGTAAATCATCTCCTGCAGTCCTAGCACGATTGAACTTATAACCATGGATAACGCTGTTTACTCCCCTCTGCCCTCTTGTTCCTATCTCTTCATCTGCGCCCTATGTGTTCCTTCCTTCACCTTACTTTATGTGTTCTGTCTCTATAACACTTGACTGTTTGCTTGCGTGCATACAGGCTCGCTGCACACGGGCAGGACGTCCCCTCCGCCAGGCAGTGTCCCAGAGGAGCAGCAGCAGATCGCACGCCAGGGCAGTTACACCAGCATCCACAGTGAGGGAGAGTTCATCCCCGAGACCCTGGACCCCAATGTAAGCAACCAAAAACACTCCTTAACAGTCATGATTAATTATGTATAAGTAAGGGATGGGCAAGTAATCAACCAAGAGGTCTATAGCCAATCCTCTGTCAGTAAAAGCATGTGGACTGGAAGTAAGATCTGGCACATTTTGGTGTTAAAGGTGCACTATGTAACTTTTCATATTAAGCACTGGTCTCCTTGTTGATGTAATTTTTTTTCTGGAATGTTCCATGTATGTAATTAAACTTCAATCTCCATGGAGACAAGCAGGTGATGCCACCAGGCCATGTTACAGATCATGATTTTTAGTGAGGTGACCTCGCTCCTATCAAGAATGCATGTAAAGAAGGTATTTTTGTGTAATATGACCTGTAGTAGAATAAATGCAAGATAAATACATATCACAGTGGAACATTTCAGGCAAAGCAATAGCATCTCCACGGAGACAAGCAGGACACGAATTCCACCCCAGAAAAAAATAATAATGTAGCCATTGTATTTGATAAAATAGAAAATTGTGATAGATAAATATGAGAAAAAAAGGTGATAATTATTTTTTTGTCATATCGCCCAGGGCTAGTTTAAATGTTAGAAACAGTGCAGTGTATTTAGCAAAGCTGCGTAAAACATGTGTAAAACATTCATTCTTAATCTTGTTTAGTACATTATTCTTACTGTGTAAAAATATTTTCCTCTAAGTAGAACTTGTAATGCTGGTTTCCTGATAGTACATTTTTGCTGTCAATATTCTAAAAGGGAATTTATTTGTGCTGTTCCTAGTGCCGTGATTTACATAAATATTTTGCCTGTAAATCTGTCTCTGTGAAGTTTATTAAAGGTGCATTGTGTAACTTTTCTAGTGGAGGGTCTGTTATCAGCTTGTTTCTATGGAGTTGTCATTGCTCTGCCTGGAATGTTCCACAGTTAATTAAAGAGCTCTACCTTCCATTTATCCAATTACAGGTGGTTTTGTAATTCAAAAATATTTAGAAAAACAGGCATTCTGATTTTGAGCAGAGTAGCCTTTCCAGGGATCTGACCTGTAACTTGGTCTGGTTTGGTCTCCATGAAGACAGAAAGGTTTACTATACTGTGAAACATTCCAGACAAAGCAATATTTTACATTTCTTGATAAAACAATTC